AAACCCTTATAATAAGTTCTCTCACTCTCAAAATCACTCATAACACTAAACTTGATAAGAATGTCAACTCAAAGATTTATTTTCATTTAAGTATTCAAATTCTAATTGACATGAACAAATTAACTAATAGAAAAACTATCAATGGATGAAAAACCACTAACTAAACTAAACTACATATATTTGACAAAATTTGGCACTCAATGCTATATCACATGAATTCTAATTCTAATATTGTGAAGGTTGATACAACTTAAATAATTTTTCTTAAAAGTTTTAAGATAAAAGTTGTAATATAATATTTATATTTATTAATTTTATATTTTATAAATATATCTATATATAAACATACACATAAATTATTAATCTTATATATCTTTGTTTCAAAGAATCTTATTGTTGATAGTTTATAAATGGTTTTAACAAATATATTCAATAAAATATAAAAACCAATTTAAATAAAATTATGTGATTTTTGAATGGCTTTTATTTATGCTTATTAATATCATATCCATGCTAATATATAAGACATTCTATTTTTTCTTGGTTGTAACTTATTTTTTAAATTTTTTCTAATTTGAGTTATTAATTTTTATTTTATTTAATTAAAAGTGATCATAATTTATTTTATTTTAATATACTTATTAATTTTTATTATAAGACCAAATAAGAAAAATATCAAAAATATAATAAATTCTCATTAATTCTAATCATTTCAACTAAAATATTTTTGGATTAATTTATATTTGCTGAAGAAATAATCCAAGCATCACAAATAGAACTTTTAATAAGATCAAATAATCTTGATGTTACAAAAAATCCAAAAAATCCAAAAAATAAAATAAATAAAATAAAATAAAATAAAAAATAGATCACTTACTTCAAAAGAAAGTGATCCATTTCTAAAGATATTTATTTAGCTTTTTTTTCTTCTTTTTTCTTCTTTTTTTTGTCTTAAACTTATTTTAGATAAAACTTCATTCTTATATGAAGCTTTAACGTCATACATTCTAAATCCTTTGCTGTTAGTTATTTAACTTTTAATAATTTAAAGAAATCATATTTTTGAGCAAAGTGATGTACCAAGTTACAACATGGAAACTTTGATAGTGGCCATAAAATTGTGTAATTGTATCAACTATATTTGATGATAATTTGCAAATATTATTCTAAAACATAATTTATATAGTTTTTTTGTTTATTATTTTATAGATCAAAAGAAAAAAACAGCTAAATAATATTTATGCAATAATAAATAACATCATCCAATACCTTGATACAAACCATAGTCCTTGATTTAATGCAATTTCACTTCAAAGACTTAACATGTATGGATACTATTTAAAATGGTTATTAAATTCATACTAATTTTTATAAATGATCCAAAGTATGCCATTTTATTTAGAGAATTTAAAAGCACAATTATAGAGTTGTAAAAAAAATTATTAAAAAATTTATTAAAATAGATTGTTGTATCTATTTTAAAATATAATAAGATTAGATAAGTCTTTAAGATTTATTAAATAAATTCATCATTTCAAAAACAGTATTATAAATTTCAATATATATTTTTAATATATGTATATATATATATATATATATATATATATATATATATGCACACACCACATTTTCTATATAATTTGAAAATTCTTTATAATATGTATATATATATATATATATATATATATATATGTAGAATTTTGATATTTTGTTAATTAAAATATTAGAGATAAAATAAAGTAAAACAAAACTTATTCTATTCATTAGAATAAATGATCAATATATATATATATATATATATATATATATATATATATTTATACATTTATCTAATTTAGTATATATTTTAAATACATTGTTGTTTGAATAAAAATTTATATAAAAAATAATATTTACTTTTAATACAGTATATCTTATTTTGTTTAGTAAAACTCAACCTTCCAAAACTATTATGTATATATATGGTGTGTTAAAACGGCTTTAATAAATCACTCTCATACTATTGTTATAAAAGGATAGTAATAAATAATACAATTTATTGCAAAAAAAACAATGACTATGTCTTTCTAGCCTTACTAGGCAATTTTATCATGGTATTTAGAGTAATAGATGGACATATATATATATATATATATATACATACATACATATACATACATATATTTAAAAAAAAATTATTCAGAATCTAAAAATTCATAATAACTTAGGATTAATCTTTGATAGATATTATATCTAAGAATAGATTGATTTTAACATCTTCATAAGATTATAAAATATTTTCAATAAAAAATACTTTTTAGACCTGGTAGCTTTATGAGACTTAATTGTAATAGAAATATAAATAGATCGAAAGTAGTGATGTATTTCTAATCATCTAATATACCAATTGTATATCTGTATTTATTATTTACTATTTTAATACATTATTTTTTATATAAAATACTATTTAAAATATTATTTTTTTAAAATATATATATATATATATATTTTAAAAAAAACCTAAGTAAAAATTTACAAATATTTTAACAATAGATAATTTAATAGGATAATTTGCACTTCAGCACAATTAATCATGTGATTTTTTAATTTTTTTTTCTATACTAGAAATATTTAGTAATTATTAGTAGAAATTAATTTTCTTATTTATATATTTTTCTTAGTGATATTTAATGTCACAATTTATATATAGATTATCTTTATATCTTAAGTTGACTCAATTTTATCTTTATTTTAAATTTTTGATGATTATATTGTAATTTAAAACATATATATATATATATATATATATATATATATATATATATATAGTATTTCATGTAGAAAAAGTTAGTGTTATATTTTAACTTTAAAATTAAGATATATAAAATAAAAATTAAATCTTATGTATATGGATATATATATATATATATATAATTAATTTATTTATTTGTAGATTATTATAAGAAATTATATTTCAAAAGCAATAAAAATATATCACTTTGAAATAACACATAAAAAATTTGAAGTACTATTTATTTCTTTACTATTCTTTAAAACATTAAGCAAATGAGTTGTATGTGGTAATGTTTTATTATTACTTAATTTCATCTTAAAACTATAAAATCATAGATAAGCATGAATTTTCTTCAACATTGTAATCTTTCAATTAATAATTTTATTACTTGACTAAGATTTCTTTTGTACAATAATGCATGTATTTTATTGCACTAATTAAATGTGTTTATTTTATATGTTGTTAATGTATTTAATTGATATTTTCTATATTATATAATATATATTAGAATACATATACAATATCATAATTCTATATAAAAGACTACATCATTTAATATAAAAAATACCTTTACTCAATTTGACAATATTGTTTTTTTCAAAACATTTAAAGCACTCTTATTTTAATGTTATAATTTAAAAAATAAAATTTAATAATATATTGAATGGGAATATAAGATAAAATATATAGTTTTAAAGTATGTGATGTTTCTTTTATTACATTTTCTAACCTAATTTAATATAGAAGTTGACTAAACATTGAAAAGTTTTATCATGTATGGCATATGAAGTTTTTCAATACCAAATTAATTTTATACATAATTATTTAATAAAAAGAGAAATATTTAAAATTAAAAGATCATTCATGTATATAATTTTTTTAATTTATTTTTTAAATGTTTTATGAGTTATATTCTGTAATTATTTTTTAATAATCATTGTGATTTTGGAAATAATATGCTTAGAAGCCTTATGTCTTTCTATTCCTTTTGATAATTAAATTTTTTTATCCTAGCCAAATATTCTACTTCTTATTACATAGGATATTTTTAGTCTATTATAATAGACTCTTTTATATAGCTCACAGCTCATTTATGTTGTTTGTAAACAACTTTTAATGTTAATTTCAAATCTTGTCAACAACTTTTATTTTATTTATATTATATTAAAACATCAATTTTATCATTAAAAACCCTTAAAAGAAACATGACTAGTTAATTCAAAATAATAATAAAAATGCACTCTTATTTAAATGAGTTGGTTAAATGCCTTTAGAAAATTATTAAATTAACCCAAATATTTACTAAATCGAGTCACTCTTCCTAATCATCATCAAAATAATTCTCCACCACTAGATCTACAACTGATGAAAAGAGGAGCTGAAGAATTTACATGCAAATGTATGATGATGGGTGGGTTAATTTAATATATGCTTGGATCAATTTAACAATTTCCTACTTTTAATGTAACATATATAAAATCATAACAGAATTGTCTTTAAATTTTAAACCAACAATTGAAATAAAAATTAAATTTGAATCTTCAAATTCTACTTCTTTAATTTTGTAAGTTTTTACATCTCTTCACTTTAATATCTTGCAACTCCATTTTTATCAACATTACATCAAAACTCCTGATGAATCATTCATAACCAAAAAAATAAATTAAAATACGGGAATATTAAATAGACCTAAGCTTTTATTAAATTGATCCATCCATTCTAGCCATCATGAAAAAAATAAATGACCCGTAGGTTTATTTCTCTACTACTCAATCTGCAACAAATGAAAATCAACCACATTCATCATGATTACCATATTCTTCATCATAGGTGGGTCAATTTAGTGAAAGCATGGGTCTATTTAATATTCCTTTTAATATATATATATATATATATATATATATATATCTATATATATTAGAATGCTTTGATATTTTGGCCCCTAATTCACCTTACAAAGTATTCTAAATTTTCAAGCATACAACAAAATACCAATCAATTGTAATACCTTTACCACCATATCATACACAAAAATGATATGCCTTGTTAACCGCATCAAAATGTGTCTTGTTTACTTAAAATTTATCTTTTGGCATATGTTTTTGGCATGTTCATAAAGCATGAAACATGCCACTCATGCCTGCAAAGACGAGATAGTAAGGTAGCAAGTTTTGTGATGAATGAGTTGGATTGGAGGCCAGAAGGGAACCAAGCACCAAAGACAACCTAATCCTAACCATAAATCGGGCGTCAGACGATCCATGTTCGAATGCGCGTTGGGATCTGGCTTGCGGGGGAGGCTTGCGGGGTCGGATCACACGGCGGATCGACGCTACTGCCCCGCCACGATCGGACCATGCACAACATGGCCACGAGCACACCATTGCCTGCATTGTCAGATTGCGATCTTCTGATCTCAGAATTTTGACGATCCTCGCTTCGTGACAACCAGCAGCAACAGAGGATATGCGTTTTGTGGGCTCTGTTGCAACTATGGTGAGCTCTGACCACGCCGCTTACGACGACGTATAGCGACGAGACGTGATGGCGAATACTGCGCAATTTGTTTATATTTTTATATTTTTGTATGTAATATTTTTTGATGCTCGAGATTGCTGGATTTTTTTCGTCTTGAGACGATAACGCTGGCGCCGCTCTGCTGGCTTCCTGAATCGTTGCGGGGATGCTGACGGTACTTGCTTGGTGGGGCTGGGTGTCGTGCAGCGCAAGGTCGGAAGATCGTGCTCTTCAACTGGGTTTCGAGTGTGTGATGCGATTACTTCATTCATGAGAGATATGGAGGTGTCCAGTTGTAGATGCACCCTTCATTGGTTCGAGAAACGCCGGCTGTTACGAGAGTAGGACTGTTCCAGGAAATGGAATGCGCTTGCGCAATCGTCTCCGGCCTGTTTGATGCTTCGGATTTTGTCAATGGCGCCTCCTGTACAGTGAAAACTTTGGATATTAGATCTTTCAGAAGTGTTGTGAATTTTGGAATGAGGAGCGATACTGTAGCAATGTGCTTCAATTGAACAGTATTCTTGCGAACGGAGGACTAGCGAGCCCTGAATGACTGTTAAAGCGAAGGATGCAGCAATGCCCTCTTTTTAGGCATCTCATGCTGTTTGATGCCAATTTTTGTATGCCATTTCGTACATCTACTGCTTTGGAGTTGGCCAAATTGTGGGGTCATCTCCTCGGGTCACAGTCGTTACTTGCGACTCAAGTACGTCAAGTTGAAGATCACGAGGCCAACGATGTTATTAAGCAAATGTCCGCTTACCAGATGCTGAATCCTCGCAGACTGTTCCTGCGACTTCTGTGCTCACTTGTCAGGGTTAAAACAGGATGTGTCGTTAACCTACATCTTTCGAGTGACTTGGGAGAGCACTCATGAACTTTCAGCATTGCTCGGAGAACTTTGAAAAGGTTTTTGGTGAACATCTCCGCAGTTTGCTCATGTGTAGCACAGTAACTTCGAATTTGCGGTTGGTTTGTTCTTGTATGGCGTGAAAGTCGTTCTTGCATAACGTTTTGGAATGTGCATAAGGTATGTTGCATAGTAATGTCGCGTTAAACCACAATCGTTACATCTTAAACACGATCAGAATGCTGTAATTAAATGATACAAGGTCAAGCGGGTAGCAAAATATTTCACTTGTATTTAAGTTGTAGCGATTTACTTCACTATTACTACAGCATCAACTTCATACATACATTTATTTGTAGCCAAATTTGTTATCATCAAGACTTTTGAATTAATACTATCCCTTAAGAACAGTGATTCGTCATATTGTGACTGAATTTGCATTATTACACCACAGCAACAAAATTGAGCTCTACAACCTACAACCACGAAGTTTTAAAGATCCCAATACATATATTCCGTGCGTGTAAGCCACATGAATCTGATCGCGGACTGAAATTAGTATCAGAACTTCAAGACGAACGATTTAAGGTATTGGTTACCATTCATGCCTTACAGCATATCAAAGTAACAAGTTGGGTAACTCTTTGGTGCTAACTATTGCAAGGATGCCTCAACAGTGTCACCAATTCTTCTTTCGTGAAATTGTGGGTGACGATTGATTCCAAAGCCAAGATGGACGTAAATCTTCCAGAATATATGTGTTAGCAGATCGGCTCTGGATTCGACAGCAGCAAAATACATCAACCGCTTGTGTCCCCAACATGATGAAACCGCAAGCTCCTTGCTGACCTTAGTTACGAAGATTTGTAACAGGTGCGAAGAGCGACGCTCAACTTTGATTGAAACATCTCCAGAGGGCAATCCTCGAACTTGAGTGCCATAAAACATGGGTTGTCGCCATCCCTGCCTGTCGGATCTGGAAAAGTGTCCTGCACAGAGCAACTACTACAAAATTTGAAGGAGCTTATTTCCTGGGGATCCTCCCTGCTCTGTAGAACTCGCACCTGTTCACCATTCCTTTTCGCACGTTACACATTTAGATTTCAAATTGAAACAAATCAGCATCACAACGATGATTTACCCAGCTCAAAGTGCTCAGTTTGCTTGGAGTGAAATGATTCTACTTCAGCTGAAATTAGTGATGTAATACACCCCATCATTCATATCAGTGATTGGCTTTTGAACTCATTATCTTGGCTCGCATGAAAACAAGGTAAACCGACCAACAGGTATCGTGCTGGCGAAGTGCAATTGTGTGTAGATTGCATAGCTTTTGTAACATCTTTCACTGTCTCATCAGATTTTCATGTCTTTCTTGCTTGCGTTAGAGCCGTAACCAAAGCAAAAGCCTCGCTTTTGACTAAGAAGAAGAAGAAGAAGAAAGCGTGTGGGGGCAGTTTTATGGTGAGGATTTCTCAATGGGGTTGATGATGACAGCCAACCAGCACAAGCCTCACTTCAACACACTGCCATATTTGTACTATCCAGTTTTTTTTATTGACTGTGTGCTGAACTTCTTCAGAAATGAATTGTTTTTGCAGCCGAAGTAAGTACTCACTTATGCAAAGATTCCAACCTGTCGAAGACTGTAAGGCTTAGGAGTATTGCAAAAATTCCCACTAGCCAGTGCACATGCCCTAGGCTCCACAACTACACAGGTCAGTGCAGCCCGCCCAGAATGATCCCAATTTCAACAAAAAAACATTCTCTACATCGAATTGCGTGCAACTGTGAATGTTCTTTGAAAGAATATGCGGTAAGCTTTCCGTGTGATACCGTGTTCTATTCCATCAAATGATCTTCTTTCTGTCCGCTCTAAAACCAATCATGGAGTTAGGACTTTCCGTGTCTCAAGAAATCTTATTTATGCAAATACACAATCACCGGTTTTGCTCTCCTAACGATTCACAATGATATTCAGTATCAAATAAGAGCAAGGCACGCAGTAGCGAGAGAGAGCGAGAGAGAGAGATGCTGTATGGAGGCGAGCAGAACACCATCACGCAGATGTGCGTTTGCCAATCAATTCCTGTACCCATGGACTGATGATGGGCGCCCGTCACTCTGAACACGCCTGGAACCACGTTTTGTGCTGGAGAGAATCCAAAGCTGGTACCTTGTACTGGAAAGGGGAAAAAAATCTAGGTAATCTGTCCCACGCTGGGATGCAAATCTATCACTAATTGTTACCGCTGCAAAACAACAACAGAAATCTCAAGAAAATGTGCACAACTCTGACAAACAGAAAAATAAACACTACTACTTAACTGGACTTAGATACCAAAAGTCACTGCTCCAAAAAATCAAGACACAAACCATGACTTGTTTTAATGTTTTATACCAGTTGGGTGTTTTGTCTTTTACCTTTTATACCATAGCTTGTGAAAACCCCTGTGTGTGTTAGAAACCTCAAGATAAAAAACAGCAGAAGTTGGTTGTTGTTATTTTAGACAACTTCAAGCCTGTTCTGTTCTGCTGTCCGAAGGTTCTCACATCGTTTTGTCAAGTGTAGCACTGTGATTAAATTAACTAACTGGGGGGTTGAAGCACAAGTGGGTGGGAGGTGGAGGTGGAGGTGGGGGCAGCAGCAGCTCCTCTGAACAGGGAAAAAGACGAAGATCAGGTCAGATCTGGCAGTGACTCCAGTGCAACCATCATTTTGTTTCGAGTACACAAAAGGCTGCGAGCTGGGTCAGTGGCCGGTCTCACACTCGTCAACTGTGTACAGAACTGTTAAGGTAGCCCCCATTGCTTCCTTACAACTCTCAAATCATCGATTTGTACAGTCTTGCAGGAAGGGAGAGTTTTTAAACTTTGACTTCGATGGTGCAGATTAAAAGCTTCCAAATGATACGGTGCTTCATGTTTTGAAAAATCTCTGCTTTGATTGGTGGCTTTTGGTGTCTTGGCCTTGATAAGTGGGTCCAAAACTAAGCATTGGTACACTAAAGAAAGAAAGAACAGAAACGAAAAGACAAAAAAAAGAAAAAAAAACAGAAGTAGCTCTGCAACACCGTTCGTAAGTATCACGCTTTGGTGCCATTCTCATACATTTTGATATGACTTTTTGTACCCCCCAAACTTTTTTTGGAGTAAACTTTGAATTTTTTTGTATATAATTGTTTTGTTTTGTTTATTTTGATTTATTTTTCAAAAATTTTAACAAGTATATAGGTTGGAAACCAAGGTGATATGGGACTAATAAAAACCAAGCTTAGTAATGGTCTTTAGAATTTCTTCTTAGCTTTGCATATGATTTTGCATGATCCCACTATCCATCCCTCTAATTGTGGCTTTGCAAATTTATAAAATTTGATTACTATCATACACAATTTGATTTGACATGATGAAACCTCAGTATTGGTTTTGTCTTAAAATTAGGGTTAGATTGGGTCAGAACATTCTTACCTTCTCAATGATTAATATGTCCTACATTTACTATGTATTAGGAGAGATTGGCCCTAGTTTATATATCAATCAGCTCCAATGACAATGCTACAACTTCTAGGAAGTTGATAATGCATGTTGCAATGTAGACCTCAAGTAAGGAAACAAAAAGAGGTGTTAGTAAAACATTATGTATGGTTGACACTTCAAAGTAAGAGAACAACATTAATGATCAATTTAAATACATTGATCTACACAAAGAAATTGTAAATAAAATACTATATTGTAGATATTCTTGCAATAATGGAGGTTTATTTTTCTTTCTTTCTTTGTAGTTGTATATGTTTATTAATATTAATTTTAATATTTAAAAGAAAAAATTAACTATTCAAAATAATTTGCAATAATTTTAATCATTTTAGATGGATTCTTACATTCTAAGTATATTACATTTAATCCTTGAAACCTTGTAATTTGTTTCACTTAATCAGATCAAAAAACTAGATGTACTTTTATCTTATTAGGTAAATTATTAGATATATTTTGTATATATTTTATAAAATATGTATATTAAAACTATAAATATTAAATATTAGAACCTAAATTTTGACATTTTTATTCTAACCAAATTATAGTAATAAGTCGAATTTCTTATTTATATCATATTTAAAAATATGCTTAATAAATAAAATACTATAGAAAAAATTTCTATTAATTTAGACTCCATTTTATAAAAAACAATTACATATTCTATTCTATTAATACCTGTTTTTACTTCTATTAACTTTAAATATAGATAGAAATGTTTTTTATAAGACATTAGACTGGTTATAAAATACTAATAATAATATGAACAACAACAAAATCAAATCAAATCAAATAAAAATACTAAACATGTTGATTAAACTATTTTTTCAACTAGATGTAAAGATTGCTTGAATGCAAAATATAGTGTAATAAAATATCTAAGACTTGGTTTGACTAAAAACCCTAGCTCTATAAATTTTATACATTAAAAAAATTCTACAGATTAAAATATCATTAAAAGTAGATATATTTAAATTAACATTAATAGATCCATAGTATTCATAATGAAAGAACAAAGGCCAATTATAATTACTATCCAAAAACAAATAATGAATTTAACTACATAATTTGTTTAATAAAGAATATCAACTAATTTGCTAATCATCTTAGATCTAAACTATTGGGACAAAACTCATTTACTACTTAGTTTTATCAAGTTTTTTCAAACACATTTAAATATATTTTTGCCACAGATTATAAGTTCAAAGATATTCAAACTGTAGAACAAGAGCAAAATCCATGGAAAGAAGTAGAATGCTTTATTCTAAAAGTAATACCTATTTAAATAATTGTATAGAAGAAAGAGCTGGAAAAAAAGTTATCCATATTTTTTAATTTTTCTATTAAAATCTTAATATATTTATTTGAAATATTAATTGAAAACAAAGTTTTAGAATTCATTTTTAAAAACACTCTTTGAAAATATTCTAGGTGGAAAATAATTGTATTATAAACAGATTGCATAAAAGAATAAAACTACATAATGCTTTTCATAAAAAGAGTTTAGCAAATTTAAAATGAGTGATGAATGGAAATTAAAATATAACTATATTTTAATAAAATAAATGTTTTACATGTAATAAAGATGCGACTCTCTTAGAATTTTTAATATAAAAAGGCATAAAAGAAAATTTTGAGCTAATAGACTCTTTTAAATATTTAATTGAATTTGACAGATTCTAAATCTTTACTATATTCACCAAATACTTTTTATATCTTAGAGTATCAAATTAAAGGAGATAAAGCCTTCTTCAACCAATAATTGGTATTTTTGCTTTATAACTTGTTTCTCCTAATCGAGCTCCAATTTGCTGAAAGCTTAAAACAAACAATTTAAAAATGATAATGTCTAAAGCACTGTTACCAAATTACAAGAAGAAGAATATGATGCCTTATTTATGGTAAAATTTAGTAAAATTGTGAGGTTTCATCAGTTCTTCTATAAAAAATTAGATTTACTAGAAAAAAAGAATTTTGCAATATATTGGCTTTAGAATGTATCTATAGTAGGCTATATCTTAACTCCTATAATTTTTACTTCTCAATAAATTCTAAAATCAACAAGTCATCACTTACAAATAAGAAATAAAAAATGAGAAACAAAAATTAATAAGTCAAGTTTAAAATAAATTAGATTGAAAAAGATAATACCTGCTCCAAGGCCTTTTTTAAGGAATAAAATTAGGAGACTTGTAAATAGAATAGATAGTCTAAAATATGTAATAATTTTTTTTATAAAATCATGTTGTTATTAATTATAAGAATTTTATTTTTTATTTTTTATTTTTTGATATACAATAGAAATATATAAATAAGAAATATACTTGTTAATTTTTAATATATTGCATAATATAAAAAAGAATTATGAAAAAGATATATTTTGAATAGATTGGTAAAAATTTAAGATGTATGCTTTTATGAATTACTTAAGTATATTCTTCTTATATTCTGTTTTTATATAATTTATTGAGATAATTTATTATAGAATCAATTTTTATTTCATACAATAAAAATATTTTTATCTTGATATATAAGCTTGTATCCTTGATTTATTTTTAGTTTTATAAAAGACAAAAATATTGCCTATAATGACCAAAAGCTTAAAATAAGAAGATTGCTTTAATACTTAATAATATAAAATATTCTAGTATTTTATGATCTTCAAATTTATTTCTATTGATAGGATTTATAAGTGATATCTCTTAAAGATTAAAAAAAGAAAAAAAAAAAATCATTAATTTTTTATGAAAATATTTGACGATTTTATTAATAATTTTTTTAATATTAAAAAATACATTTTAATAAATTAATAAGATAATTTGAAATACATGAAAATAAAAATAAATTTTACAGATTTTCTAATTTTAAAAGTTTTTCATTATTAAATATAAATAAGATTGGAAAACATTATAAGATATTTTCAAGACAATTTTGTATTAAAATCAAACTCTATTTTCTTTTTTGTAGCTAAAGAAAACCTGTCTTTAAAAAAATGGTCTTCTTTATTCAAATGTTTCAATTAATTATTTTTGTTTTACAATTGTGTTGCTTTTTTGACAATTATAAACAATGCGTTTAGTTTTTGTAGGAAAAAAATATGAAATTCAATGCTAATATTAATTCTTATTTTGTGCATTTAGATGTTTCAATCTTACAACATTAATTTTCATGTTTTATACTTTTAAATATGCAAGTTATCTTAAATTCTAAACGTAATGGTATACAAAATTAATGAATTACAAGCATCATAATTTAGAATTTATTTTTATTTTTATTTTTATGTTTATTTTTTATTCTTTTTTCAATACTAATCATAGATAGAAGAACTATGAGGTACTGATAACTTTACATTCATGTGCTTATAACTAAATTAATATTCTATAAAATGAAAGAAGACACAAAAATATAAATATAAATCAATGACAGTTTAATGATTTTTGTAATTAATTAGTATTAGGATCCAATACCAACCATCAGCTGTCTTAAGTATCTATCATATATCTATGAATATAGATAATATATCATTAATAGGTAAACCTTCTTCTTTCTAGTTTTTGAAATCCATCTTGAGTTTATGTATAATAAAATTGTAATCAATTTTAGAAAAGTTTTAGAAGAAGTCTTATAGCCGCAAGTTACATTTAAAAAAAACATTTAAGAACATTAAAAAATATATATATATTTGCATCTTAGAAGCATTTATGATGTTTTTTAAAGAAATTATTATGCACCTAATATAATCCTATCTTTTTCTACTTACTTTTATTTACGTAAGTAGTCTTAATAACCATGAAAAATTGATTGTACATCTTTCCTACATCTGCTTGTAGAAGCTTATAAACTACTATTTCATTAATAATTGAGTTTTTTTTTTTTTTAATGTAGTAAATTCTAAATATTTTCGTAAAATATACAAAGCCATGTAAAAAACGTAAATAAATAAATAAATTTATAGTGTATTTTTTTCTTATCTCTCATTCAAGAACATGAGTTGTCATTCATTATAAAACTTAAGCCATATATGCATATTCAAAACATGAGATTTTTTATTTTTTATTTTTTTATATAATTATATAATTTATTTTTTAGATATTTTATTAATTTTGATATTTTTAATATATTCAAGAATTTTCTTTAAATAAAAATGTACCTTACTATTTATTTAATTCTTCACTTAAAAATTCAATGTTTCATTATTATTGAATAATGAATAGTATATCTTTATATGTCACAATGCTATGACTACAATATTAGTAGATGAGATAGATAGTTCAAAATTTGTTTCTTGTGATGAAACGATATCACTTAATTTATTCAAACCAGATAATTATTGCTACTTTAAAAACAGACATATCATTATGTTATATCACCGGATTTAAAATTTACACCCATCTTTGCAAATATGGTCACCTTTTTTAATTACCGAAATGCAAGCAATTTTATAATAAAACATTGGTGCCAACGGGTGGCAATGCCCTCATGTGGCCAAATTCTTTTCTTACCCTAATTTACCAGTTAAAGTGATTCAAATAAATAAATAAAATCATTTCTTTTCAATTTTTTTTGTCTTTACCAAAAGTACCAACAACTTCTCTTCTAAGAACTTCTGAAACATCCAAAGAGGACACATTTCACTTCTGAAACCCAACTCAACAAGGCTGAAAAAGTGAATGAATAGCTTTAAAAAAATGGGTTGAAATTCCATATCCTAGGCTGCAATACCGGCCATGGCTACCTTCATTCACTCCTTTCACTTGATAGATCTACACCTAAGACATGCATGGGCCCATGAGAATGTCATCCCAAAACATACAGAAGGTAGGATAAGATAAGATATAATAATAAAAACAACAACAACAACAATAATAATAATAATAATAATAATAATTTTTTTAAAAAGTAAAGCGAATAATATTACAAAATAACAAAAAGGCAAGCTCCTCAGTGTGGCAATGCTGCTGCTGCCGTTTTGTGGGTTCGCAGACCTCCATTCCCAAGATCAGAAGCGGGCCTAGTTTCCAATGCCCCCCATCGACGATGAGGAGGAGAATCTGGACCCACGTGACTGATCGGAATTTTTCTGGAGCTTGCAGCTCTCGGGCAGAGCTTGAGACCCAACCAGTGAGTGTGTGTAAGCAAGCTTTGGAGGAAGTATGGAACCGTGGGTGGGGTGCTTTTGCGGTGTGTGAATGAACCGTTTGTTTTCAGATGACAGGTCGATGGCATTTTTTGAGGTGACCGCGGTGAAGGCAGAGAGAGAGCGAGAGAGAGAGAGAGGAAAAGGGCAAGCAAGGCCAGCCGAACCGAAATTTTTGTGAAAACCGTCCCCCCGCCCCCCAAAATAAGCAGCACCACAGAAGCTTATATATTCGGCGACGTGTTTGTTCGTGTGTGTGTGTGTGTGTGTGAATGTATTCATTCATTCCCGTGTTATACTTAGTAAAAGAATCCCAATGTGTGGGAAACCAAGGACGAAGATTCGGGTGTGTGTGTGATGGTGGATGGAGTTTCTTGCTTTTGGAGAACGGATATCGCGACCGGCACAGATCCCTCAGGCCACGAAAAGAAGGCTGTGCTTCATCGGGGTCCACTCTCGTCGGAAGAAGAGCATAACTTTCTGACATGCCCTGCTGCAGGTTTATGTTGCAAATCGCGACTGTAACAGCTGATTTTGGAGATCGCAGGGGGAGGGAGGACTTTGGTTAGGACTATTAAGCTCGGTTGTATTATATTCCTCTAGCAAGTGGCAGCTGAAACGCATGCGCACACGCAGCGTCTGGGCCCCAGGAATCTGGTCCTTTCTGTTCCTTTGTCCGTTCGGTGCTCGTAGATTTGAGCTTGAGCCCTTTTAGCGAAGATTGTCTTTGTGTGTAGGGGGGGTTGGGTGGAAAGTGTCGTGGGGTCGTCTGGTGTGAGCTCAGCAGCCCCACCTCATCGATGCCACATTTGGTTGCTGGGAAGAACTGGGAAGGGCTCCGTGATCGCAGGTTAACATTGCTGGCGAGGCGGTGCTGAATCTGGAGTGGAGTGGTGAGTTCATCGGTGGCAATGGCGGACGTGGTTTCTGGTGTGTTGGGTGTGTGAGGGAGTGGTTCCCTGGTCTGGCCCTCGAATGGGATCGTCGCCATGTGAGAGTCAGGGTGCGATTGTGCTCCGAGCTTTCCCTGTTTGGGAGTTGGGTGGTGCAGCAGTGTAGGTGAAGTGTTCGCGAAGTCCATAAAAAGTGTGAGGGTGCATAGTTCTGAAGTCGAGGGAACGTAGGCTTGCGCGCGCGAGAGAGAGTGAGAGAGAGAGTTTGTGTGTGTGTATCTTTGTCTTGGTTTCTTGCTATGCATCGGAAGCCGGGAATATATTCTTTGCACCTGCTGGCTGGGTCTAAACCACGTTGTGAAGAAAAATGGTTCTGTCGTTGGACTCGCAACTGGCAGCTTCTGAACGCGAAGTCGATATTAGAAAGACTTTGAATGACTTCCGTGACCTACCTGTCAACGGTTGCGAGTGAAGTGATCATTCATGTCTTTTCTTTCCTGTTCTTTTTTCTGTTAGGTTTATGTTTCTTGTTTTCAATATTCGACCTAGGTATGGTGCATCCAGAGGATTCTACACAGAACCGAGGTTTTTTCAACCTGTATCCGAACCTCCAATTGCTCCTTTTACGAGCCCAGGTTCTCATTCTGATGGTTCGACTGTGAGCATTGTGGAGCTCCAGCCCGTAGGTCCATCTCCAATCGTTTTTACAATGAGTTGGTCTGTTAATGCAAACCAGACTTTTATCCTCATCATGAGTTTTCTGCATGGATTTTCTTTGGAGATTGAGATCCGTGTGAGTGGTCACTCGGCACACAATGTACCAGATTCTAAACAGTTCCACAGCTTATATGGCTCCCTTGTCACAATTCTTTAGGTGGAGGTTTTCTCTCTGAAGTGACAGGTCGGACTTATATGCAGTACAAACGTCAGTCGGAAATTAAGACTTAGGGCCTTCTATCTCATTTCTCGGTGTTCCATCCAGTACATTGCCCGCAGAGTCCTGCTTCATCGCTGTTAAAGGTTATTATTTATGCACAAAATCACACCTCAATTCTTTTTGGTAGCTGTACCAAATGTGGTTATGCAAAGTAGAGGGTAGGTGTAGAACCACGATCTGTCTCCAGCTCACTAAGTGTGCAAATATCAAACTTGAGCAAGGACATGGTCACTACATTGCTCGCTCAAGTGTCGTTCTTATGCAAGGCTCTTAGTATACACATGTGAGTACGACTTTGCATGCGTGCCCCATATATGATCTTGTATCGCATTCGCAGCCATAGCTTTAGTTTGTAATGATTGAGGCAAGGTCTGGGTTTTTGCGGGCTTTTAGAATGGAGAAGGATCATGTTGCGGATCGATCTAGCTCGAGAGTTTGAAACAGGGATCCACCGCAGCGTAGAATGACACGCACAAGTGTTCGACCAATTAGTTGTCTCAACTTGAATCAATATTAAATTTAGCTCTCCAGTCTGAAAGTACTTAACATGGCATCCAGGAAAGAGGCTAACGTGGGTTCTAGAAGGAGGGAGTATGAAATTTTAGGAGCTCGATCGAGTAGAGGATTCACTGAAGTTACAAGAAATAGAAGATTGTTGTGGGAACCTTTTTTAAACACGATCAAGTAGGCTGCAATCAACTGCTTAGGACCTTTATCGGATACTGACGTTTGTCTTTTGTATCAATCTTCTCCAGGTTGAAGAATGTGGAGACACGCCAAGAGAGTCCCATGGCAGTGGAGTTACCTGAATCAGTAATGGCGTGGTTTAAGGGAAAGGATCTGAGATTACACTACTGGGTGGCATGGACGGTGTTAGTCTTAGGGTTTATAGCATATGGCTACTTTGAGTTTCTGGTTCCACAGAATTGTGACAATATTCAATGCGCTGTGGATTATTTTCGGCCAGATGTGAGCCCAAAACCCGCGGATCCATTTGTGCCACTGTACAATGACACACGCCGAATCGCGGTGTGTTTGGTAGGCGGAGCTCGAATGTTCGAAATTACGGGCAGGACGATTCGCAAGCACCTCCTGGACGTGTACAATAACACGGACGTGTTTGTACATTCGCCACTCGACATGGACAGCCACAAGCTGACTCTTCTCGCGGGTCGCAACCTGCGTGCCGCAAAAATCTTTATCCCGACCCCGCAAGCCGAGACGACGATCGTCAACGAGGTTATCACCTCGTGGGGGTCTCCGCATGGGCTGCAGGGGCTGCTGCAATACTTCAATCTGGTGGAGGGCTGCTACGGGATGGTGAAACAGTACGAGGTGCAGTACCGATTCAAGTATGACTGGATCATCCGCACGCGCGTCGACGGTTACTGGAGCGGCCCTGTACCAGACATCGCTCAACTAGATCCGAACTACTACTACGTTGCGGCAGGAAGCGATTTCCACGGCCTGAATGATCGGTTCGGAATGGGCAACCCTCACACAAGTGGTGCAGCCAATGCGCGCTTGACTCTGCTGCCATTGATGCACCAACGCGGCTTGCGAAAACTGAACTCAGAGTCTGCGTACAAGGCCCAGTTGGATATCTCCGGCGTGCCTTACAAGCGTATTCAGGTCCCGTTCTGTGTCATGACCCTGCGGCAAGAGGCATACCCCAAGCCAGCATGGGGATTGCTAGTGTTATCCATGGCCTCGCGGGGTCCCATGAGCGGGACTTACTGCAGGCCATGTGACAAGGAAGAAAACGCGACTGTGTCAGAGCAGGTCGTTAACGGGTGCATGCGTGACTGGGACTGGCCCGGCGTCGCGGCGAGAGAGGTCACCGTGTGCGATCCGCGGAAGCCGTGGTCCACCGAATGGCGAAAGATCGCTGCGGAGTCGTATAGCATAGACGTCCCGGGGGAGGAAATCCCAAGCCTCTCCTCGCGCTCGGTCCTGCAATGTATTGCGGAGATGCAGGACTTTCAAAGGCAGTGGGATGTATGGGAATCTCCACCTATAGAGCAGATTTGCGCGCAGGCTTACAGGGAGCGTTAGTACTTCGATCAATTGCAGAGACTTAAGTAGGCAGGATTTTAGAGGTTTGTAGAGTAAATTCAGATTTAGCGTCGATTTCCATTTATCCCTTCCCTGGTCACCTTGACCTACTCCAAATGACAAAAATAATGTTACACTCGTCCAACTCTGAGTGCGTCTGCCTTGCGGATCACTACTGATTCATTTTGTTCTTTGGGATGCAGCATAATATATACCTATCGGTGATACCGATGTTAAAAGACCAGGCCTCGACAGATTTGTTGACTTGAGCTTTTAGCTGAGTATGGATAATTTTCGTTTGTTCAAAACATCTTTCTGCAGTAGAAAGTAAAGACTAGAAAGATATTTAGTGTTACAACACTAGCGATTGATCGGCTTTTGTTCCCTTGAATCGCTGGTAAAGTTTTTTTTTGTTCTCGTTTTGATATCTTTGCAAAGTGAATCGGCAGTTTTTGTAAGAACGATTCCACAGTAAAAAGAAAAAATTAAGGAAAATAAAGTGGAAGAATCGGAAGTAGGACGCGTAGTCGGTCTTCCTCGTGCAGATTAGGCGCAATTGGCATGTTCTCTAGGAATCAACTATTTTTGAAGGACTGTTCCTCTGCATGTTCAAACAAGTCCGTGATTCGTTGTTTCATGTTCCTTATGTTCCATGAAGATTCAACTGCTTGTAGGTGTGAATAAGATCAAGAAATGGAGCTTGAGTTGTCTGCTCGAATGTGCATGTTTTTTCTTAGACCTCTTTTGTATATTCAGTTCTGAATTGAGGATCGAATATTCGTTCCTGTGCTGTATTAGAAACGAGGTCAGGCCCTAAAAATGTTGGACACAATCATCTGCAAGTTATTTTGTTTTCATGTCTTCATGGCCCTTAACAATTTTCGTATATGACAAAAAGATACACATGTCAGAGAATTTCAAATGTCGCAAGAATTTCACAGCTGTACAAGTTGTCAAAGTTATGATTTGCTCCATTTCCATGCGAGGTACGAGTCAGAGCTTTGAAGTCGTTCCTAAATCCACCACGTGACACAGAAGCGTGGCAAGCCTGCTAAGGTATTCTGATTTGAATTTGGTTTGGGATCACTATGGTCTATCTCAAAAGTAACCAACTGTCCTAAGGAAGCTTACCAGTTCGAACTGCTCTTGAGATCCAGAGCTTAAGATCAGTAGTTTAATAAATGAGAGCACATTCGGTGAAGTCGTTGAACAGCATATTATGATACCACATTTGTAGTATTTCTCCTGTGTGGATACTACCAGGTTTGTAAGAAGGAATTAAACTGGCCAATATATTCTCCGACAAAGTCATCACACTATAAATAGATGTCGAACAAAATGTAAACAGGATGAACAATTTGTAGTTCGCGAGATTTTACACACTCAACATATTAAAAGGCATGCCATACCAACGCGATTGTGGATTGCATGACCCTGCTAGAATAAGAGTTCACTTGGAAAGTAAATTTCCAATAGAATGTCTGTGTGATGCATCACTTAAGTAATCCAAAGAACCTTCTATATGCTCAAACCCCTACACTGAAAATTACTGCTTCTGAAATCAGCAACTACAATCAAGAAGAACCGACTATGAACGCAAATGAGACGATGGCCCTTTAAAATAATTCAGATTGATATACAGTAATCACCAAGTACAAACTGCAAAGATGAGAAAAGCTTTAATGTACGACAGAAGACCAAGCTGGTCCTTTACTGCAGCTCACATGACTCAAAAGTAGTCCTCAATGTTCAGGCATTGTGTACCAGGGGCCATGCTGTTGCCGACGTGGCAGTCACTCCCAAAGACAACTAGAAAATCTCTATAAGAGAGCGCCTTGGCACCATGTAAATTCCTTAACTGAGATATAAGCATCACTTCTCAATCTCTTCTCCATTTGGCAACATAGCAGGACTGAAAGCAGGTGGAAATCGGTGCTTGGATCTGAACCAGTTGTAGAACGCATCCATATTTAATTCGTCCTGAAGTTCAAAGCACGGCACTCTGTAGCAGGTCCTCATGAAATCTCGAATAAAATAAATCGACTGCTGTAGATGCATAAACCATCCTGTGAGTATCGACGAAAATCAATACTAACAATCCAGAGGTAACCTCCAGTTACAAGACTTCAATCATTTAGAACTTACAACCATCTAGTGATGACAATCACAATGAATCAATCAGGATCATCACCCACATCCCACTGCTGATTAGCAATGCCTGGCTGCAAATGCATCGATCTCTTTGGGAGGATCACCGAGCTCCTCTCAAAATCATCCACGGGCAAAAGAATATACAACTATCTAGTTGTATAATTGAAAAAAATACAAGCTGCCTGCTCAGTTGTATAATAAGAGAGCCCGCTAGGAATCACGTGACTGAATCATCACATCTTCAAGAGCAAGTTGAGTGGCGTGCTGTTGAACCGCTGCGAGAATCCTCGAATGACAAGCACAATTATATCCCGGATATGACGAGATTGCACCATAAGTTCAACTTCATTCTCGGAGTCCATGACGATCTTCACGCGATGCGGGTCATTGCGAAAAACCTCAACATGGAAAGGGGGTGCGTAGGAGCCACGAAGCTCAGTGGAGGCGAAGTTCGTTTTGGATCCGGGCTTCACCACCTTCACTCGTTTCCTATTTACATCCAGGACTCGTCGCTCCAAGCTTCCGAGCCCTTGCTGATTCTGTGACTTCATAGGCGATCGGTCACGATCGCGTAAAGCTTCGAATTTCACGACGGCAAGCTCTAACTTCAGCTTCACCTCCTTGGAGACCTCCGGATCAACGATGATAGGATCGGTTGAGGCGGAGACTGGACCGCCCTCTACGCCATCGTCTCTCACTGGGGTGTACACAGCGACAAGCCGATAGCCAACGTCATCAACATTGGCTTCGTACATGCGCCCCACTTCTCCTGATATTGGGATCAGGTCAGGACTTCCTGCCATGGCACGGAACCACTGGAGCATGCTCTTTCCCTCCTTACCACCACTGTAAATCCCGCGAACAGCATAAAGGCTAGTGTGGTAACCACGTCCCTCGATCTCTAAGTTCTCCACCCTGGGAAATCCAGGGGCAACAGGAGGAGTAACAACGGACGCAGGCTCAGCTGATCTGCCGAACACATCAGAGATTATACCTTCGCACCGCAAGCAGTAGCCGACATCCTCGAGCCTCACTTTGTATGTGCAGGAGCGTTGCGCTGGAAGAGGCTCAAAGTGCTCAGTGGATTCGGGTTGCCATGACCGCGACCACTGGTACTTGATATCCTTCTTGAACTTCTCCCATGACTTCTGCTGAATCTCCCCCTTGGGAATGACTTCTAAGGCAGTAAGCACTTCCCCTTCGATTAGCTTTCCTGATATAACCAGCTTCTGTATCCTAGGGAGCTCAGGGTAAATGAGAGGAGTCGGCTCCGACAGCACTAATTCCCCAGCAACACCGTCATTGCGAACTGGGGTGTAACCAAACACAAGAGAGCATGTATAGTCGTCATCTCCCACCGTGTAAGACTTGGAGTGTGCATCAGGAATGAGAGTACGAAGACCGCCAGTCGTCTGACGATACCAGCTCATTAGACTCTCTCCTTCTCGTCCACCGTAGTATTCTCCTTCTCCTTCAAACACACCGTATGAAGCCTCTTTCACATTTACGCTTCGCACAACTGGGAGAGCGGGCGCTACGGGTAGATTGCTGTAGGCAACAACGGGAGAGCCTCGTTTACCGTCCGCTCTCACAGGGACCCAACGCAGACAAAGATAAGATGCCACTTCGTCTAGCCTGGGAGTGTAAACCTCTTTGTCACTTAGGAAGCGCGCGTCCTCTGGCAGTTGTCCGTCTTTTGGTCTCTGGGAAGTTCGGTACCATGAGTATTCGCCATGTCCCTCTTTGCCACCAAAGTAAGACTTGCGAGGAACAACCTCGACGTCTTCAAAACACTGGGATATCATGAGTTCTGTTCCCTCTGGTTCCCCATCCACGACAGTATCCGTATGACAAGACCGAGAGTTTCCAACTGCGCCATCTTTCCTCACGGGCGTGAAGACGAGTTCAATACTACTGCCAACATCCTCGGATGTAAGATCCAGTGCCTCATCGGTACTTAGCAGGACCTCACTCCCATCAGGATTGTGACGCACCCACTCATACATGCAGGTACCCCTCTCTCCGCCTTTGTATGAGGCGTTGAAGCTGAGACATCCTCCTTCAACAGGCAACCCAAAAATCTCCAGAGAATTGCACATCGGCGGAGATGGAATCACAGGACCCACGCTTGACGAGACAGCAACAGGGCCTGCCACTCCATCACTCCGGACCGGCTGACACGAAACACAAATCAGCCCGTCAATGTCGTCGCTTTGCACCGTATAAGACTCACGCACGGCGCCTTTGATCTCACGCTGCGTTCCATCCTGTCGTGTCCGAAACCACTGAACTTTGCAAATACCCTCTTCCCCGCCCCAGTACTCCTTCCCCACCTGAAGTTCATACCCTTCCATGGGCTCTCCGATGATATGCAGCGAGAGGAGCTTAGGAACACCAGCACGGATCCGCTCTGCTCCATAACTGCTCCTCCAGTCACCCATAATGCCATCGTCTCGCACAGGTCTGCATTGAAACAAAACAATCTTGTTGACTGCTTGCCTTGTAATCCGATACTGGAGCTGCCCTTCAGCTTCTGATACTATGGAGGCAGGTTCATCCTCGTTGTCTTGCAAATACCAGCTGTATAGACTAGTTCCTTCGTAACCTCCCACATACCCGTACTGTGCGGTCAGCGTTTCCCCCTCCACAAAGTCACCAACAATATTAAGGAACGTCAAATCTGGGGGCAACATCTCCACAATGAATTCTGAAATGGCATACACGGGTTCCCCAGCCTCCCCGTCCAACCTCACAGGAGTATATTTAGCTACGAGGTAGTGTCCTACAGCGCTCAAAGGGATTCGAAATGCCTTGGCGACTTTGACGCTACAAAGGGACTCTAAGGAGAAATCATTTTTTGGTAGTGAGGAGGAGCTCTTCTTGAACCATTGCACCTTACTGGCTCCCTCCACGCCTCCAGTGAAGATGGCGCTCACAGCAACCTTGCTGCCTTCTTTCAAATCCCCTACAATACGCAAATTCTCAACCTTGGGAGGTGCAAGCAAGACGGTGGTACTAATGGCTGTCACTGGATCTCCAATTTTACCCTCCGCATTCACAGGAGTGTACATAAACATCATTCGCCGGCCCACATCTTCGACAGACAAAGTATACGACAACACCCCTCGTGAGACGAGCTTGAATTCACCCGATTCCAGATTCTCACGAAGCCATTCTAACTTACTAGCTCCTTCCTTGCCTCCGAAATAATGTCCTCGGCCATGTAGCACATTCCCATCCACTGCTTCTCCGATGATCTGCACTGCATTTACACTGGGCGGCGCTGGTTGAATAATAGAGGTCGCAGCATAATGAGGCTCACCTCGACATCCCTCCTCCGTCACTGGGGTATACATGTAAATGAGGCTGTACCCCACGTCGTCAAGAGTGAGCTGGTACTCTGGCTCCTCAGCTCCCATGATAGCAAGAGGGCTCATGAGCTCACCTCGTCGGAGCCAGCTAGAGACAGACTTACTGGGCGTACCGCCACACCATGCCACAACTGCTGAGCCTCTGAGAACCGATCCCTCAATGGTGTCACCATCCACTTCAATCTCCAGCACTCTCGGACATTTGCTACCAGAGGCAACTGGCGCAGATATTGCAAAGACGGGAGGATACTCTGTTTCGCCGAGCACTACGCTACATTCCACTTTGAGGAAATTACCGATATCATCGTGCTTTGGCCAGTAACTATCGGTGACGCAGCCTTCTATGGGGGTGAAGTTGGCAGGGGTTTTACCTCCAACATACCACTGATACTTCAGACGAAGCTGAGAGTCCTCGAACGCGCCCTCAAGCTTGTCAAAGATAAACTCGCAGCCGCATGGATCCTCCTCCGCAGGCTGATCGGCCCAGGCTTTCTTCAAAGTGTACCCTGGAGGGAGGTTTGGACTCCACCGAGAGATGAGGAATTGCAGTGTTGATTCCATCGCCTCCTCGTGGCCGCAGAGCTCCCAGCCTTCGCGAATGCAGAGAGCGGTGCTTGGGGGATACATTCTTGCGAACTCAAGCTCCTGTGTAGAGAGATCGCGGTCATTGAATTTCTTCAGGCTGGGACCTACAAGCAGGATGGATTGTGCTTCAACGTGGAAGCTCTCGAGAATCGGATTCTCTTCGAGACGCAGATGCTCAAGTGCAGGAAGGTGCGGGAAGTCCTTGAAGGTCGAGATCTTGTTCTTGCTTGCAGCTAGAACTTGCAACCTTGGCTGGGAAGCCATACACAGAGACTTGATCTTGTTCTGCGCAACTGATAAAAACTCCAAGTTCGGAAGCTGCGGCAAGTCGCTCAGGGAAGTGATCTGGTTACCAGCAAGATATAGTTGCTGTAAAGCCTTGCAAGAAGCGAGCGGCTCAAGCCCTGCACCCTTGAATTCGTTGAAGCTGAGATCCAGCACCTTAACGCGGCGAAGTATCTCGATACCGTTCAGTGTGGCCAGTTTATTGTCACGAAAATAAACAAATTCCATCTTGGGTGTCAAGCTAACCAGATTTCCATCTAAAGTTCTCACTTTTTGTCCTCGAAGATCAAGTCTAACATCCTCCCCGGCCTTCACTTCCACGGAAGGGAGCGCAACAATCTTAGCATCGCGAGTGTCGGAGGTCAAGGTCTTTTTCCTTGTCAGCATGCTGGGGCCGCGATCGGCAGTCACCGCACTGGGCGAATACTTCGAAGACGCTTGTGAGGCAGATTTATCCTTCGAACCTGTGGAGACGTTGCCGGAAGCTGAAGGTGACAACTTGGCACCTCTTAAGGAGCCAGGTCTTTCTGTAGGGGAAGCAGCAGAACCAGGTGAAGACTTAACAATTTTAGCAGTCGACGAAGTTCTCTCGGAAGGAGAAGACTTGGTCACTCCTCTACTTTGACTACTTGCATTTTTATCCGCAGGATACTGCTTCGGAGTGCTCAGACTTAGACGTCTCTCTGATGGGGAGGACTTCGTGGTATTCGAGCTCGTGTTTAAGGAACGCTCTGAAGAGGACGAAGGGGAAGGCTTTCCGACTGGCTCAGCAAAGCTCGACGTCCTTCCAGCGCCAAGAGATGGTGATGGGCTAAGTTTCTTCTTCACCGCATCTCTGTTTGTGTCACGGTTGGAAACTCCATTCGCCGTGACTGGTGGTGACTTGTAGTTGGGGGAAGAAGAAACTGAACTACTCCGGGAAACCACTGGAGTAGAGCTTGTTGCTGAACTCCGAGACTTTACTGGGGATGGGGAAGTTTTCGAAAAAGGCTTCCTGGATTCGTTCGGGGATTTATGGTCAGATACCGAGGAACTCACTCTCTTCGGGTAACTAGCGGTCGCCTGTGTAGAAGTCGCAGCTGAAGAATTCACTCTGCGACCCGAGGCTTTCAATGCTGGCGCTGATGAAGCCCACTGCTTGAGGTCTGAGGCAGATGGAAGATCAACAGACCGCGACAGCGAAGCCACTCCGGAGAGTGAATTTCGACGAGAAGCACCTGCTGATCTGGTAGGCAGCGTAGTTAGAGAGGATCTGCGGGGATCAGTGGTTTGGGAGGGCTTGCGAAGGCCGCTGATAGCACCAGAACCAGCGGAAGACCGAACTACACTTGTTGTAGACCTTGCGGTGGCATTCAATGAATTCGTACTTGACCTTAAAGTATTTGTCCTCGAGCTTAAGGAATTAGTGCTGGACCTCACGGGAGGTGCGCTACCTCTTAAGGTATTCGTGCTTGATCTCATAATGCTCGTGCTGCTGGATGTCTCACGCGGGATACCTCGGCTCCTGATGACTGGGGCAGCTGAGATGATAGGCGGTCCGAGCTTACGAACACCATTACCGCTCGCAGTGCCACCAGTAGCACCGTCAGTATTGACCTGAGATCGACGAGCAGCTGCCATTGATGAGGTAGATCTCAGAAACGGTTTTGGCGAAGGTGGGGCTTGAGTACGAGCTGCAGCAGATGCGCTCCGCCGCAAAGAATTCAGTGTGGCCTCGGTGAGCTTGCTCGCGCTATTACCCTTCTTCGGAGTTGCAGCTATGGGCAATCTCCTTGAAGTGGTGCTCGCGGTTTCATGGTCAGGCTCGTCTTCAAGAGCGTTCTCAATAGCGGCGAAATCAGCCCCATCTGGAAGGTCTGGCGCAGCCGAGAGGGTAGACTCCACCTCAGCTTCAATGGCAAGGTCTGCATCCTCACCTTGGTAATCCAAATTTTGGCTACACTCATTTCCATCTACCTCTTCTGAGTATTCCTCGTGCCCATTCTCTGATGTAAAATTTGATACAGGATCGTCATCTTCGAACCTCGAGAGGTACACAACGTCTCGCCAGGGATCGGCAGCTTCCACCTCCTCCATCGCTACTACTTACTGGATAACATAAACGAGGATTAACCCTTCACACTCCCACCCGCAACCCATCCCGAAAAGAAGAAAACCCTCAATGCTACGGAGAATACGCCGCGGACTATCTCTACACCCATGGAATATACTGAAAAAAGAAAATGACGAAGCGGTACGGGGAGAATAATGTGCGGAGCTATGGTGGACAATACCAGAAAGGGAGAGCCTGAAGATCGGCGCGACAATCAGGATATGATCACCACAACATTCTCCAAGGTAGCTGGAAGCTAGGTCGTGGGATCACATGGAAGCACTTCCATTCCCTGCCAAAGCAAAAGAGCATGTGCTTCTTTAGAGCCTGTTTCATGTGAGAATCGGAAGCAAATAGCTGACGTAGGAAAACAACCCTAAGCGTAATCAAAAGCTGCGAGACTTTGGGGCCTACTGAAAAGATGGTGCAGAAGTCGAATGTTAAAATTTATGTTTTAATAATAAGAAAGAAATAAAGAGCAAGCAATGACCCACGACGGTTTCCGCACAAGACTTCGCGAGTACAGAGGACTACATTCATGTCCAGCCGAGAACAGCGGCAGCAAGAATTACGACTATGTTGGATATGTCGCAGTAACAAGCAGAAAAATTGCCGGAGACAGATTCAGCTCGTTAAATCGTAGGAAAGGCACATATGGAACTGTGCGTCACGATCTAGTCACGGCTGGAGAGGATATTCTCCTATACCATGAAACGATTTGTTGCATACTAGATACTTGGCAAGTTCCCCTTTCCGAAACCCGCTGCGTTAAGGATGATCACGAAGCCCTTACGCCAAGACTGATGAAGACACGGAATGCGACTAAGAGCTACTGATGAACGCAAATAAGCTGTTTTCGCTCGTAAGGAAAAGCAAGATTGCTGCCTCCGGCAACGTTCTGCGCAGGCTTGCAACAATGCCGCGAAGGAGCAACTGTGAAGATCAAGCACGGATATCCCGAGACACGACGTAGAATGTTGAGTTCTCACCTTCCAGTCCTCTACTTTCAAGGCTCTTCCTGACTAGAAAATGCAATCTTTCCGACTACCCCAAAAAATGCGAACTGTCTACACGACACGTCGCTTTGAAGGCGACACAGTTAAGCTGACATAGCTCGCAAGCTTGCAAAGATCAAAACACCTGCTGGATGCGCGACCCGAGAGGTAATCCCAAGGGAGACAGCGAAAGCTTCCCGTCTACTGTTTCGATCGAATGTACTCGCAGGAACGAAACTTCAAAAGAGGAGGAGAACACGCACCTGCCACGGACGAAGACGAAGGCGAAACCAGCGTTTGGCGAAGCCTGCGTTGTAAAAGCCCGCACAAGGGAAGAGCTGTCCCCAAAGCTTCTCTGCGACATTAGAATGCACATGCTCAGATCAAACAAAAACAGATACACACCCGATCGGCGTCAGCCATTGCACTCTTGAGCGACTGACTCACGCGCCAGCCATCTTCCAAGACGACGCAAACAAGCCAAACCGGCCTAGGCTCACTCAGCTTTCTCTCATAAATACCGCGGCTGGCTGCCAGTGAAACTCGCGCTCTACACCCAAACCTCGGCTTTAGCTCTTCCTCCCCTGGAAAAACAGACCACCCCACTTCTGGAGCATAATGTGAGTGCAAGAAAGCAAAGGGCAGGGCTTACCACCCTTGCGACGGGGAAAAATCCCAACTTACTGATGGAGTAGCATCGGAGAAACGGGGTGGGTAGAAGGCTGGAGCTTGACACTACGATGCGAAATAGGGAGATGAAGGTGGGTGCTACGGAGGCGGATGGAAGAAGAGTTTTTTTGCAGCAGGCACGATGTAAGATAAAAATAGCTTGGGGGCAAAAAAGCGTAATGCAGTATTATTTGCGCCACAGTGCCAGGGGACTCAACCTCATGATGAAAACCTCGCGCCCCACCAGAATGGTATCAGTGATCTCTGCGACAGAGCTACAGAGAGGGCTCTCTCTTTCTCTCATTCCTTCATCCCCACCTCCCCGAGACCACCACGCTCTTCTCCCCCCTTTCAAACTTCCTCGCTGCACGTCACCTGCTTGCTGCTGCTGCTGTGTTGCACGGCCAGGGCACCCACAGACACAAATGGATGGGTCCACAGCCTCTGTGTTTCCCTACAATTCTTCAACACCCTACTTACTAGATGCAACACAGCTATTGAAAAAGATTCCCTTCGCAGAAGACCTCCTCATCATTTGTGCAAATCATGCATCTCATCTTTTGCTTTGATTGTGTTGTAATCTTAGGGTGACTGAGCTCCACTTTTGTTGAAGGGTTTTCTTTTATGAAAATCCAAATTTGTTACTTTCAGCTCCAGTTTGTGAAGGCATGATGCTTGAATTAGTTTGCATTTCATCCCAACAGTGTGACACTATCTCAATTCCTGCGCTGTCAATCATCCACCTTCAAAACAATGTGGGTGCTTTGCAATTGTATAAAATACATGAGAGAAGGTAAAGAAAATGTATAACTTTGTACAAGTTTGCATATGCTGGGTGGCGCTCACATACAGTAGGACATGCCACTTATAACCCATCTTTTCTTTCAAAATGATAATAAGAAATATGTGAAAAGTCTGGTCCTTCAAGACTTTCAAAGTGAACCCGAAATGTGTTTTAAACGAATTTCTGAGAGATCCCAGAGTGTGGATCACTGCTATTTAATTTTTTACCTCGGGGTAACAACGTCAAGACTGTCAGGCGTAATAAAAACAGGCAGTAAAACACACAAGAAAAGCTTGGCTATGGTCTTTCAAAGGCTGAGAAGCTCCAAAAATCTTGTTGAAAATCCAACTGAATTTGCCCACACTGATGATCCACCAGTACATATTACAAACCATGTTTATTATACACACAGAGAACTTATTACAGGTTTCTTTTCTTTTCTTTTCGTTTTTTTGCTTCTTTTGGGCTGGTGTTTGTGAAACCCTTAAGATTGATGTGGAGCCATAGCCAGAGTGACAGAACAAGCTCCATGGAAATACAGTTAGATGCCCTGTCTGTGTTGTTCTAGGCAACTGGGGCTTTCTTGTTGTTGTATTTTCTTTCTTTCTTTTGTTCTTTTTTCCACAGATATGATTCAACATCTCAGGTGGACAAATGGTAGACCCACTTGGGTACAAAGTAGTGATGTTGCATTCCATTCATCCTGTCCAAATCAAGTGGGTGGAAGTGCACCAAAACTGTGTCCCTTAGCTCTAGCATTGTGTGTGTGTACACAGTCTAGAGTAAAGCAACTAAACCCTAGATGCATTTTTCCAAAATCTTTTTCAAAAACATTGAGCAAAGCATTTTGCCCCATCATGTGTGTTCATAAGAGAAGCTGCCTTCCTCTTTTTTGTTCCCAGAGAGAAAAAAACTTAAATTGAAGACATGAATGTGAAACTATACATGTGTATATATATATATATATATATATATAGTAACCACAATTTTTGCTAGCATCACCACAACCCACTACTCACTGGACATTTTCTTTGTTTTTTTTTGTTTTTGTTTTTGTTTTTTTAAACTCCAATAAAAAATCCTGTTTAATCAATTTTTTTGAATAACAGAAATGACATGTAATGACAAACAGATTGAGGTGGTAGTAGCTGTAACTATGGTGGCATTAGTAATACCACATATATATATGTTCAACTTTTTAAGATGAATTGTGACAAGAAAATGGAATAAGTTCATAAACAAAGATTCAGAAGAAGTGCTCACGTTTAAGCAATAATAATAATAATAACAACAACAGCAATATATGTAAAGCTCCCCTCCAGGGTGTGCATAAGAGGGAGTTCCAGGTGGGCAGGGCAGAAGCCAGAAGTAGGAGGGCACATGGCTCTGATGGTACCCCACCACACCCATGAATGGGGTTTCTTTTTCCATAAACAAAATTGTGAGAGACTAGACAAGACTGGACTAGACTAGGACTGACATTTTCCCACCACCATCACCAGCTTTGCTAAAAGGATTCTGTAATGGATTTCAACCTGAAAACCCCGCATGACAAAAACTGCCAAGCCACAAAGGCTTCAAAACCCCCCATCATGAGGAGAGAAAGCTGTTGCTGGAGGAAAAACAACAATTCAATATCCGAACACATTAAATGCAGTTGCAAATGGGATCTATGGTTGTGAGAAAAAACATCCAAGGCAGAGCCAATGCATACTGTATACAGAACTTGGAGTGTGTTTGTTTATTCATCCAAGCTGGAATTAATGTTTGTGGATTTGGCAAAAAAAACATTAGAGTCTGATAAAGTATATATATATATATATATATATATATATATTTATGTATATAGAATTCAAGTGTTTTGTGGTACAAGTCAGTAAAGTATATATGTGTTTCAAAGTGTGAATAAGTTAAAAGGTTAGCATGTATGACACTAGTAACAACAATAATAACAAAAGCAGTTGCACTACAAGTCCTACCCCAGATACACATCATAGAATATCATGCACAACAGAGTACTGTTTTTCTTGGAGGGTTAAACAAAAACAAATTAAAAACCCCAATATGAATGAGGTAAAAACCAAAGTTTAAAGCATGAAAAGGAAATCAAGCCCCCTTGCAGAGCAGCTCATGACATGTTCACAGCTACTCTAAATTAAAACCCTCCATCCCAAGTCAAAGAATAAACACCATTTTTCCATAGTCAACACAAGCATTATGAGGGAGATTTCTAACCTGACCTGCAGAGGTGGAGGAGGAGAGGGGATGTGTTGAGTACTCTACTGTGACCACTGCATGGGACAATTGTTTTTTTTTTGCAACACAGAGACTGTCAGAGATTGCTGCCAAGGATTCAAGGGTTTCGAGAAGATAGACTCTCACAAACAAGCTCCATCACCAAGCCTCTGGATCCGATCAAAGCACACTGCATATAACAGCTTCTCACAGGGTCACCTGCTTCTCTTGCTGCATGGGCCCAGGTTTTGGGGTACACACACAAACACACATAGAGACACCAAAGTAATAAAATAAAACAACCCAACTGTTTTTTGTTTGTTCTACAACCCACTTTGTAGCATGACCATTGGTGAACAAGCCCAACCCCTGTGGATGAACAAGCTTCCAGCATAGCTTTGCCGCTGAGAATTCAGTCTATTCTGCTGCACTTGAGATAGTGAAGCTTGACTAATACTGTGCATGAAGTACTGGGTAATCCTAGGGCCCTGCATCACACATCAATTATGGCAGTTTTAATGCAATTGTAAGGTTGTGAGGAGGAATGAATCTGTCCTGTACGGACATCCTCATTGTTATGCAGGCTCCTGTCAGCCCATGGAGCTGTAATTTTTAATTTTTAATTTTTTTTGCCTCCTCCTGCAGTGTGAATTCCTCTCCACTAAGATGCTTATTACCAAGCTGTATGTAAGGTTACATTTTAACCAAAAACTTACTGCTTGCCTTTGTGGTGACAAAGTCTTTCAACATTAGTAATGGAGGATAAAAGGCAGGATGGAAATTGAATACCAGTGTTGATTATGTGCTGAGGTGCACACCCATATCATTAATCTCTCTCTCTCTCTCTCTCTCTCTCTCTCTATATATATATATATATGTATCTGTAAAATTGTGGGTGATTAGTGGAAGAGGTGATGGCTGAATCTGACAAATGGAACCAAACATGGAATCAAATTGCTTGGTGTGACTACTTATTCTGTCTGCACCTTGTTTTTTTAGTTGCTTTTTATGTATTTATTTATTTATTTTATTGCAATGTTCTTAAAGTTCTTTCTGTCTTTCTTTTCACACTTTGCAGGGTGTCACAAGGTTGGCTTTCACATCTATCCCAGCATGTGCGTCCACTCAGTGGGGTGAGCTATGGGGATGTAATTTGCTGGAGCTTGTACAAAAGAAGGAATAAAGGAGAGAGTTTGTCTGGTAACTTTTGGATGAGATCCAGCTACGCCTTTACACTCAAAAAAAGTTTGCTTGACTATTTATATATAATTCATCAACACAGAAAGGGAGCAACCATATCATGTGACATAAGAATCAGATTACACTGTTTTTATTAATAAAGAATTGTTGAGCTCAAGTGATAACGTCTGGAGTGAGGTGCCCAATTATTGAAAAAGAGCATAACAAGGGTATTTTCTAATCTCTACTCTAAATCTCATTCAGATAATACCATGTTCCTCTAAATCTGTTTGTAACTGAAAGTATTTTTCTAGTTCTGAGTAGTTTACTGAAACGGATGTTGCCTCAGACTGCGACGCTTAATGCAAATGCATGCAAAAGCATTCACCAGGGAATCACATAAGCTTCTGTAGTTATGTAAAAAAATAAAAAAATAAAACCAGGAACACTGTGAAGCATCGAGTCACAACCTGCCACCCAAGAAAAGACTCCAGCTTAACAGAATCCGCAAGTTTTACGGAGCTGTACAAGCAGGCAAGCTGATGGCACCGAAGTCTGCAATCTGAGACACAACATCGCATTCATCACTTGGAAATCTGGGCCTTGACGTCGGCAGTTGAACGGGGTCTAGTTAGTTTGTAGCTGTATAAATGTGCCGCATGAAAAAAAAATTACACTAATCCAGTGCTAAGAAGAATGCCAACCCTGACACAGAAAGCGAGCTCCGTCTCACTCTCGCGGTTTTAAACTGGAATTCTTACTTTCAGAATTCATGGAACGTCGATAGATCGGATCACTACGACGGCTTGACATGGGTTGGGTCACAATCTAGAAAGTCATAGGCGTCCATTCACGTGACACAACACTAGCGTGCAATGGATCAAGTATCGCCGTTTCGGCCATGTCAATAGTCACAGGAATTCCTGATTTGAGACGGTTGAGAATCTAAATTTACACTTCTTCATCTCCTGTTTAAACTAAGGTGAGAATTTCTGCCTCAGTCAATGGCTTTGTAACTAATTTTTATTTTACATTCTCATGAATATTACACAGAGCCATGCTAGCTTGAGTGAAACCATTCTAAGAGAAGTATTTCAGGATAGTTAAAATTTACAGTAAAAAATCACACAGAAAATAGATACGTGATGCACATGGTTATTACGGTGGGGAAGAGGCTTATAATGCCTTCCTTCGGCGTCTGCACTCACCTGAATGGTCGATCGTATACTGCAAGGAACGGCTCAGCTGGCTGCTTCCATCTTGGGCATAGTGTACGCTCATTGACTAGTAATTTGATACTTATGATTTGTAAAGTCCATCTCGTCCTCATAGCTTCAAAATGTTCCTAGATCAATGGCCCGATTCGGAGCAGGTCATTTGTATGTTGAAAAGACAGTTTAAAGTCTTCACATAACCAAACTGCCATGGTCACGTCAATCTACAATGCAAACACGCGGTGCATCAAGAGGTTCAGAGCGCTCTTTGCAACAGGAGATGCAGGGAAATTATTCGACTCACGGCATTTCATGGATGCTGGAAACAGTAATGCTGGAAACATGATCATGCCTTTGTGAAGACTGTTGATCCACCAATTGATGTGGGAAGATGACAAAAATCTGGTCAAAAGTACCGTACTTTGAAGCGCCGAATGACTGGGAATCACATCACTTGCCGCCGCATGTGTGTTGCTGCGTAGAGGGAAGGTCATGAACTGGACAATTCATAGTCCAGTCCTTCTGTCTGTTCGTAACATGAACAGGTAGCATCAGTAAGGGAACAGTATTATCAACATGAGCAACTCCTTCCCATTTATCAAGCACATCTTCATGATTATATGGCAAGGTTCTGGTGCGAAAATTACTACTGCACGATAAAGTTGTGACTCGGATGCATGTTCTGCATTCACCTCAGACTCACAGTGTTGACTGCTCCACTCGTTTAACTTAGCTTAAAAGCCAGCCACTTGCAGTCCTCACTAGTCTTCATGTCCACAGAAGTTGCTAGTTATGTCATTTGAATGAAAAGCTCTTTGTTTCCACCAGCTGCCCACAATGCCGACCATGGGCCCAAACTGACTCTGTGTGGTTGCAATAAGTTAAGAGAGTAATTCTGAATAAGGCAATTTGCAATTGGTTTAACTGCACCTCGAAGTCTGCCAATCGTGAGGAAATGCTTGCTCAAAGCCGAGAAAGGTGCATTGATTCATGACTTGAATGCTCGTCTCTTACTGCAACAGAAACTGAAGACAACTGAGCTTGGTGAGCGAAGTCTAGCGGATCTGTAGTTAGTTTTAATACAAGGCTCTTAAACTTAAATACGACATAACAATTAGATTGAAGCTGGGCATGTAATGCATTTATAGGTGAAGTGTTTCCCAATTGGGTCCATGTTTAACTCCTGTGAGTGTGTGATTCCATTGTATATATAACTTAAGTTCTAAATTAAATTTTGATACACATAACTGTTATTTAATGCGATATGAACTATTATTCATATAAATATTCTCGATTGATTAACAAGTCATGTCAATGAGCCTCATTCTTACATTACTATACATTGCTTTTCAATGAAATCTAAAATAAAAAAAAAAATCAAAATCGAAATTGAAATATCATAGTTTAATTATGTTATTATAAATAGGTGCAGCTTAAACATATTAATTAAAACAATTCTCAATAATATTTCTTTTTTGTGTTCAGGAAATCAATAATGATTAATTGTTGATCTAATGAATCAAACACATGATATATATATATTTGTAACATCTTGAATATTCAATTCATGTAATTAATATGAAATAATATATATATATATATATATATATATATAGCTGTGTTCTTTGTCATTTAGTGTGTTGTAAAATTTACTAATTTTAGGAGCAACAATTATTGTGGTTTGATATAGATATATTATATATAAATAATGTTATTGGTACCTCCAAATTGTACGTAAACATGTTTATTTTATGTTTTTATGAAAAAATTAATATTTGGTTAAATTATGTATAGATTAAATTATGTATTTATTATTATATTGTGCATCTTTTTTTTACAAACATCAATATTTTAAAACTTATAGAAAAAATAAGTAAAATATATAATAACATTCTGTATTTCTTATTGTTTATTAATTTATGTGTCAAGAAAAAACCTAATAATTATAGTACTCAAACTATAACATTTTAAGTATTTGTGCTTCAAAGAATAATTTTATTGACATTTTCAAAGTGATAGGTGGACAAAAATCATAACAAGACACCTTCAAAAGCAATACAATTGGATTTTAATTATACCAAACACTCAAAACAAATTTCAAATTGGTTTTGGTACTATGAGGTCATGTGCTTTGCACAAATAGATTAACATCTACTAATTGATGTTTGAGTTGGTAAAAAATCATATTAGGAGTTACAACAATAGCATTTCAGGAAAATGATATGTAGGTGTACTGTTAACACAACAATCTACCACTTACAATTTTCTTCATATTCTAACTTTTCTCTTCACATTTTTCATAAGTTTGTGTATATATAAATGAAATTTAAGTGAATTAAGCTGTTTGTATAATACAAAAATTTAAAAAGATATTTAGATACAATAAAAAAGATTGTCTTGGCATGTTTATTATTTTTATTTGTGACATAATTTCCTCTACTAATTATTATGTGAAGTTGATGTCATTTGGTACAGTTAATAAAAGTTTCATGTCAGTGCATTACTGATAATTACTCCATGCATTGTTATCGTCACCAATGACGGCAATCACTAAGCTGTAAGGAAGATCACATGCTTGTTGGATCAGCTCAATCATTCCATGTTTGACAATAAAATTTCTTAATAAGAAAAAGAAGATGAATAGAAAAAGAGAAATACTGCATTCTTGAAGAAAAAAATGGTCGAGACGATCTACAATACAGTCAACTCAACAAAAAACTACAATACTTAATGAAACCAAAATGAAAAGAACGGTATGTTCTTATTCAATGCACGGTTTGTTTAGAATAAATGCAGAAAACTTATTTCAAAATACTAACAATTAACCTGTTCTAAGCAATGATAAACATGTTTCCTACAACTGGTGGGTACCCATATGAAGTGGAGGTGTGCACAAGAACACTCCTTGGCTGGGTTTGCCGTAAGAAACCAAAAATCCCTTGGTACAACAGTAGCAGAAGAATGCTCAGCAGAAGAGCACAATCCTCCAAGCAATCAAATCCTGAAGGTGACCAACATCTGAAAGGGAAAATTGAACTGTAAACACTAGATGTGTATCAATCACAATTGCTGTACAGTCACTATTAAGTCATGCGACCTTGCAATCTCGGACCACAACACGTGGACACAAGAACAGACCTTGTTTTCTATCTACACGGATTCTCATAGTTTCACCCAAAACTTTGTTACACGCTTGCCTGCTAACTCCATTGCTTCCTGGCTCCTTCCTCAATTAACCGTCTCCTCTCAACAGCACACCTAGGGTGTGCTCATCCTATTCTCCAGCTCAAATAACTCTTCGTCCTCATGATCGCTCTCGTCATCTGCAAGCTCATTCGGAATGAATACATGACAAGTCAATATTGAATGATTCAAAGAGATCAGAACTCATTAAAAAACTACGCGTATGAATTTCTTAAGTAGAAAGTCTACGTGCCAAATAACAAGTAGATATTACGTGAAAGGTAATCCAAGGAACTTTAGGACTTGTATGTTGGGAGTGTAGCCATACCACTTTCAGGTGGACGTGCCATATAGTCTACGCCGGCCTGGAATTGAAGAGGCACAAGCTCCATGGAGAAGTTCTCCAGTTTCGCCATCAGCCAGTCTCGTTCCGTGATCGCCTTCTTTGCCTGCCGTCAAGACATTTATCCCTTGAAGTTACGGGAAGCAACATGATGCAAGATAAATGTTACTCTCGAAATACTCAATGATCTAAGAGCTCAATTCTAACCGCTGGGAGATATCAACGCAAATTTCCTCAAATGCTGTTCTACGAGGGCAATGGACTGATGATCGTTACGGACTCAAGTTGGGAGTTCAAGACGACCATAATTCTTGAGTTTGTGATAGGCATGAAAAACCCTGACCAATCTGGAAAATAGCCAAGTCGAACCTGATTCTTTGAATATTTGTGAACAGACTTCGACGAAAGATATTCAGTGAACACAAACCAATCTCTCTTCTTCGGTTCGAATTCCTAATAATAAATAACAGGGCAAAGGGAGAACATACAAACAAAGGCGATTCTGTCGACCAACGGGCCTCTAACTGAAACTTGAGTTTAGTCGTGGAAGGGTTTGAATGTTTGGAAGAACCGCGTGAAATGACCATTTTACTCACCAAAGGTTTCTAGTACATGTAATTATTTAAACCTTAGAAACAACAAGGCTTCTAACATAATAGTGGATTATCATACAATTGGACAATATTCAAAAACCTCCAAACGATTTTCATGAGCCTCTCCAGATTTTCTAACCCAGAACTAATAGTGAGAGAGAGAAAGAGAGAGTGTGTGTGTGTGTGAGAGCTACTACCATTTTTATCCAACATGACAAAAACCTCGAAGATAACATGAGAATTGTTTAATTCTGATTATTCCGTGATCAATGCAACGAGGACGGCAGAATTTGAGACCAAGTCTTAAGCATTGATTTAAATAGAAATTTGTCGGCAAAAGAAAACGGAGAGAGGGTTAGAGATTACCTCCAATTCGGCACCACCCGAGGGAGCAGGAATCGCTTCGTTTTTCAGAATGGCCGACCCGAAAGCGTAATGCAAAAATCTGCTGGCCTGCCTAAGCGCGCTGTCCTTCGTCTCCCCCTGCCCCAGAAACTGAGGGTAATCCAGCACAATCGAAAAAAAGCTCTTGTACTCGTTCACATTGTCCTCTTCCGACGCCACCATTACTGCATACTCGCGATTCTCCGCGTTCATGGCTGTCAGCGACGCCACCAATTCCCTGATCCCGGTGCCCGGACTCGAAGCAGGAACAGCCGCACCCGCTGCGACCCCATTCGCAAACACCAACCCTGATTCCCCGTCAGTGCCCGCCTCCGCCTCACTACTCCCACGACTCGCCACAATATGCCCACTCAAACTCTCAGAGACATCGCTCTGCTCGCTGTCCGCCGGCGCGAACGTCGTCGTCGTCTGCTGCTGCTTCTCTTCGCCACACTTATTCACATGGCGATCGTGCTCCTCCGCCTCCCACGTAAAATAGGGCTTGAATTCCAAACCCATCGCGCCAAATCACTCACCAAACCTCCTCTTTCTCTCCTCCTCACCCCCTCTCCCCCCACTCTTCCTATCCCTACACCAAACCACTCAAAACCTTACAACTCTTAAGCAGCCACGAGACTATCAACAACCCACCTTCAGAACTCTCCCAACGCGACCATTTCAATCTTACTCCACAACCGTACCCACTCCCAGACCTCCAAATCTCTCAACTCCCAACTCTCAACACCCACCCACCCACCCACACACACCTTCTTGCTCCTCACTCCCCAACCAATCGCCTTCCTTCACAACGTCACGAACACAACCATGACCACCATCATCAAACTCCACCACCACCACCACCCTCGCCGTCAGAGATGGCAAACCTCAACGCTCCCTAAACCTGCCTGTTCAGAGCCCATGACAACGAAGACCCACGGCGCGGGTCATGCGTAGCGGCAGCGGGAGTTATACAAGCAATCGACGGATTCTACGAACCCAGTAACAACAGACTTCTTCCACCCTGACGATGACGATGACGATGGCGATGGAGAGCTGTGAATGCGCGATGATGCCTTCACCCCCACGATACTGTAATGATGCCCCCTGTTGTTGCTGTCCGTGGTTGTTGCCGTCGGGGTTGATCAATTCCGCAGCGCGGGTTTGCGTGATGGAGCGAGAGATTGTGCGCGGAAGTGAAGTTTGGGAGCCTGGCGCCGCGACTGCGTGCCGGCTCTTGCTTCGCCCAGGGTCGCATTCAAGCTTCCACTCGGGAACGAACGAACGAACAAACGAACGGAAGGTTCTGGAAACGTAAAAAGGAAAAAGGAAACGTTTTGTGAAAAAGTTAACGTTGGTAGAGGGCTTTGACGGGGTTCGGATGAAGGGTTTTCCCTGGTTCAGAAAATCGCACTCCTGCCGCCGCTCCTGAAATTGCACCGTATTTCCAGTCCGATCCGATCCGATCGGATCCACCGTGTTGCGATAGTTCCTTCGCTCTTCGAAGCTTGTCGATTGGCAATCGGAAAGATGGGTTTGAAGGAGAAAGTCGAGCAGGCCGCCAACGACGTCCCGGCGCCGACCACCACGCCTTCAAATAATGTCCCTCACTTACATCTCCTCGAGGTGCAGGGTTAAAGCCCTCAGTTAAGTGTAGTTGCGATGCGACGACGTCGATCGTCGCGTACATTGCGACGATATTGGTCGCGGAGAGATATCGAGTTTCGTTGTGAAGCTGTTGCATCACCCTTTTCTTGACGTGATGGGGTAACAATAGTGCACATCGTCTAGATTGGCTCAGAGAGTGTTGTTGATGCATTCCCCCCGACTTGTAACCGAAGTCAAGATTGTGTCTTGGACAGTTCATGATTGCATTCTCGAATCGACTGTTATTCTTTTGGGTTAGCGCGGTAAATGCGAAGAATGTCAACTCATTACCCGGGTCTGCGCGGATCGTTGTTGGGGATGTATAGGTTTTGTTTACTCGACCAGGTTATGATACCAGAAAAAAACGTCCTTCTAGATTCATTGTGAAAAGTTGGAAGTACAGCTCTTGGAGTTTGCAGGGAGGAGATACTGATAGCTTTCATCTGGAAGCATGAGTGCAGAATATGTGATAGCTTTGGATTTTAGTAAACTTTGTTTGCAACCACCGATGCAGCCCCACATAGTACTCTGACTTGCGGGATCGTCTGTCAAGCGATCACACGAAATCTTTCAGAAATCATTGAAAGACGACACTGCCCCCTTAGCACTATTTTAATGAGAGAGAATATCTTTGGTTGTAGGCTGGACCGTCATTGTACGTTGGCATTGAACTTCTGTGTCAATTTGAGCTGTAAGGTCTTAAAGATCACGCATGTCAATGCCTCTGGATGTGAGTTGTGTGTTTTAAGCTGCCGGGTGAAATAGGACACCTCAAGCCCCCGTATCAGGAGACCTTCGTCCCATTTGAGTAAAGAACCTCTGATCTCTAACCATAACTGCGAAAATTCAACTACTTCATTTATATATATATATATATATATATATACATATGTGTGTTTAGTTTTGAAACGTTAAAAAACGTATTCCTAAGTTGATTAGTGAAAAACTGGTACAACTTTTAAGTTTTAGTTTGAGGTTTTAGTGCAAGATGCGTATTCACTTTTACAAGATGCACTGTACAAATTTTAGGAAGGAGGGAAATATAGCTTCATTTAATTGAAGTAATTGCACTTTTGACTACTAGTTTTTATTTTTAATTACTTTTTTGTTTTCTGATTTCTTTAAATGGTATACTTCATTTTGAGATTTTATACAAATTAATGTTAGTGCTTTCCTTTCGTGAGGTTTATTGTAGTTTATTAACTTAAACCAAATTGCTTTGTTTGTATTCTAATTACACCGTATCTCTCTTTGTATATTTATTGGTTCTTAGATAGTACAGTAGTACACTCACACTATAAAAGATCAAAATATCTTTATATTTTTAATTTAAGTGAAGGCATCATAAAAATAATTCATATTAAAAGTTGAGTGCTAGTTTTGGTCAATTTTCAAATTCTTATTTGTTAAAAAAGATGTAAAATATATATTCCTACTCTTACACAAATTGTGAAGTAGAGCATTTTGAAACTTTTGTAGTATTTTTTAGATCATTGTAGAGCATTTAGAAACAAAGATTCTTTTCTTTTTTGGATTGTTATATGTTTATGTTTAATAATATCTATCTATGCTAAATTAATCTTTTTAGAGATTATTATGTTGAAAAATATTAAATCAACTATAACAATGGTTAAATCAACCCACCCTTCAAAACCATCATTATATCCCTCTCATCAATCCCTTGTCCTTGTTCTTAGCCCTCATCTCAACTTCTCGTCCCTTGTTTCCCATTTCAACCTCTCATTCTCATTTGCAACCTTTCTTTTTCATCTCCACCTCTCCATTTCTACCCACCTTGAATATATATATATATATATATATATATATATTATTGTTATTTTTTTCCTTTCATGAGGTATATATGTATATGCACAAATAAATAAATTATTGGTTTTTTTTAATTGCATGTGCTTTTCTATATACATATATATATATATATATATATATAGTAATAAGACATGTATCCAAAAGAAATAAATTATATTAAAAAAAATCCTAAAAAACATGAAAGTATCATAAGATACAAAAAAGGTTAAAGGGATTTCTTGGGTTTATTTTTTGTATTAAAGTAGAATGACATACAATACAAAAAATAATAAGAAATTTGGGATGAAAGATGGAAGTTAGGAAAAAAAACATAAATAAGAGATGTAAGCTAGAAATAAGAACTAAAGAATGGAGGATGGATGGGATTGAGACGAGATGGGAGGTAGAGAGAAGGTTACAATGAAGGTGTTGATTGATGGATTGGTTTAACCACTACCAAGATCAATTTAACATTATCTATTGTATTTTGTTATAATTTTTTTTTTTATAGGTGTGCAATGCATATTAATGTTCAAAAGTAAGATTCTATTATACTTTGTAATCTTAATAGATCAAGAAATCACACATTTTTTTAATAATTTTTAATTAAATTTTTTATATTATTTTATCTTAAAGAATATACACTATTTTATTAAATATTTTTATTCTATAAATTAAATATTTTTTTATTCTATTATTTTCTATTGTAGTACATTTAAGACTACAATCATATTTAATCTAATATACTCAGAATATATTCAATATATTCAAAGCCTAGTCATTTTTTAATATATAAGTTTTTTTTATCTACAAAAAATATATATAATATATAATATATATATATATATATATATATATAATATATATATATATATAATATATATATATATAATATAATATATATATATATAATATATATATATATATAATATATATATATATATAATATATATATATATAATATAATATATATATATATAATATAATATATATATATATAATATAATATATATATATATATATTGACTTACATCATATTTTATTAAGAATTAAGTACTATTTATGCCATATTTGATTTAATTTAAGGAAATTTAAAATATAAAATGGGCCAATTAATCTTAATGTAGTCATAAAGTGCAATTAGATCTTTAAATTTAAAATATTTAGAGCTTTATCAAATCATATCTATCCATTGTTGAGTAATATAAAAGAGTATAATTTATTTATTATATAATTTAAAATAGTAGAAGATTAAATTTATGAAAGGTTATTTTAATTTTATTAATGAATTAATTAATTTATATTATTTAAAAAAAACTTAATATCATATAGTCTAATTATTACAAATAAAAATTATTATCTAAATTTAAAAGCTTAATAAATTTTATCTTAGTTCATTATTATTATTATTATATATATATATATATATATTAAATAAAAATATCTTAAGAAAATTTTATTTTAGATCTTTTAATAGAATTTAGAAAGTTTGCATATTATTTTTTAAATATTTAATCAAAGAATATATTCTAAAAATAATACAGTTATCTTATGTATATTTAAACATCATTTACTAACATCTTTAAAGATTTATGTAAGATTATATAATACAATTCAAAATACCAAATATTAATTAGATTCTCATTTAAGATATATTTTAAAATAAATATATATAATATTTTTTTCAAATAATCAAGGGATATAATTAGAAAATAATATTTTTAAAAAATTCTTTTGTATCTTTAAAACACAAATATAATAAATTGTTACACCATTTATTTACTTATTTTATTTATTTTATTAAAAAAAATTAATAAATTATTAGTATAATTTTATAGTTATTTTATATATTGGCATTTTAAAGATCAATATGCAATCTATTATAGATTCTTTTCAGGATATTTTTTAATATATATATATATTCTTTTAAAAAATTTGATTATAAATAATGCATTCCTATGCCATTTACAATTGTCTTTAATTGAGGTCTTGACTTTTTGTCCTTTAAGATAGTGAAGATTTAGTTTTTATCTTATAATAAGTCTATTTAAATAGATATGTTGAAGATACAAATTTACTAGAAGGTTGTCAAATAATATCATTGTTGGGGTGGAGAGAGTTTGCCTCAAGAAAGCACTGGGTTTCTGGCTACCACTAAATGCTCAATCAAATCTAAGATATAAAAGTTCCAAGTTTATATATATAATATTTTCCCTTTTAGGGCAATTACATCAATACATTAGCCCAAGTACCCAAGAAACACCCAAATGTATGATAAAGTATCTTAAAGCCTTAAATATCCTTATGAGAAATGTTTTCCGAACTTCAACAGCTCATATCTCACAATCGGACCTTCCAAACAACCTAAAATTTAACATGAAGTATTGATATACTTTCAAAAGCTACCACAATAAAATTTAAGTGCAAATTCGTTACGGATCTTGAAATATCACCAAAACCCTAACAATAGCTTTAAACCCTAGCTTACATACATCCATGTGCTATTTTCTTCATATCTCACAAAATAAGTATTCAAATACCATGAAACTTTGATTTATAGCTTTTTAACCTAATAACTCATACTTATGGAAATTTTGAGCCAAAAATTCGTCCAAAAACTCAAGATATGGCTCCAACCATTACTATCAACAAAATGACTCACTTACTGCCTTTGAATTACATGTGCTGTCTTCAATGCCCTATAACTCTTTCATCCAGACTTGGAATTTATCAAACAATATATGTAAAGCGTAGCCAAGAAAGTGTTCTCTCCAACTCCAATTTTCGATCTTTCATTGCTCTCTGTATGCATATGTTATACTTCAAAGAGTGACAGTAGGTACAAATTTGACACCTCAACTTTGAACACGTATATTTCCTTCACAAAAACTCAAAATCACACAAACTCTTCATCCAAATTATATCCAAAACCCTGAACTTACTGACCTTAGCCTCCAAAGCTCAAATGCCCCCAAATGTGAAACCCTAATCCCTAATAAGGCCTTGGGCAGCCTCCTTGAAGCCCATTAGGCATGGCCTTCGACCAATAGGAATGAAGATTCCCATTCCTTGCCTTCATCCAACCATGCCTTGCTTTCATCCCTCCCAATAAGCCTCCTAGTTAAGAATTTCTTCTTTAGGCTCTAATCTCCTCTCAAGGCTTCATACTAACATTTAGATTCTATAATTTTTTTGAAATGCTATAGTTAAAAAGTTAAAACTCAAAATAAAGTTTCTTGAATCCACTCTCTTTAAATTAGTCTATTAACTATTCTAATATACACCAAGACTTTTGAACATATTATATGTTCTAACTAATTTTTACATATTATAAGCATTTACAGAATGACATTGTATCTCCCTTCGTGTAATGCTTTAAAATATAAGATTGATATAACATATGTCATATAGTGTAAAATTTGTCCAGTCTAACAAGTATTTGTCTTTGTTAAAGTAACATAATTTATCACCGAATTCTATTTCATTTCCCTTTTTATCTTTTAAAATATATTTAATATTATCTTAGAGCATAAAATGTGATTTAATCAAGTGTGCTTTGTTAGAAAGAAAAAAAAAATGTAATTCCTATGTTACCAAAAGTTTTGTTGATTTAAATCAATTAAATGATTCTATTAATTAATCAAAACTAACAAAAGATATCAAACAAATGATAAACACAGTAACAATGATAGATGTCTCATATGTTCTAGCATTGATTAAGACACTATTGTATCTTATTATGGTATGTAGTGTAAATTGATTAACTTCCATTACAATAATATTGTTGTTATTTTAATTAAAAATCATTTTAAAGTTATTTGGTTATCGTACTTATTGGTGCCTAAAAAATTTCAAGAAATTTTGCAACATAACTAGTAGTCAAATCTTAAGATCAAATTGACAAAGATTAAAAATAGAAGAATTAAAATCTTGAATCTACTCTAGTAAAGTATGAATATCAAAAGAAAATTTTATGGAAATTGATTATTTGCAATCATTTGATTATATTCTAGTTTTTTTTTTTTTTTTTTTTTTTTTTAATACATAATATTAATTTCCCATTAAATGTCACATTTTAATGATCAAGCTTTGTTTGGTTTTTTGATGCAAATTTTAGAATCATAGTTCAATTGAAAGATTTGAAGGTTTATTTTCCTCAAAATTTGCAATTATGTATATATATATATATATATATATACATATACTAAAGTATTGTATCTCTTGCTTCACAATTTCTACATCAATTTGATAAACAAGATTCAAATTTCAAAGTAACAAATCTTTAAAACTCCTTGACAAATACACTTGTAGATGCTTTCAAGAAATTATGTTGAGAAACTCAATTGTTTTGCTATCTTTATCGTTTGATTGTTATTTTGTGTAGTCACTTATAGAAGCCCTTTAGAAGTCCTAATTTAACCATGTTCTTGACTTGCCTTTGGATTCCTTTGTTGCAGTTATGATCATTGCATGAAACAACATTTTGTTCTTTTAGTTAATCTTGCTTAACCTCTTGTGTTTGATTTGTAGGGTTGCCACATACACTATCTCTTCCTCACTGACATTGTTTTATTAAGCAACAACTTGATTTAAGTCAACTTATGATTGTAACCAAAATCCCAAGTTCTAATTTAATTACTGTCTCTTCTTCAGAACAGTCAGCTACAAGACACCGACCATCTAACATCAGTAGTTGCTAAGAATGAATTTGTGGTTAGTGCCGCACAACCATCTCTGATGAGTGCAAAAAAGCCTGAAATTTTAACTGGGGCGGTTAAGCTCCTTGTTGCTGTTGCAGGAAAATGATTTTGAGCAGATCTGAATTGTTTGTATAAATATATGTATATATATAGTTTTTTCTTTTCTTTCAATGAAACTCTGGCCTAAGAATTGCGTAGTCAAAATTTACAAAATATACTAAATTTGAGAATCTGACAGAATCGCTTGGCTGCGAGGTAAACATTTGCCGTGGTGAAGACCAAACTGCGTGAACTCAAACCCTCTGACTACGATTTTATCTAGCTCCACCTGGTGCCGACTTCACCATAGTCCGCTACTAACGTCGTTTAGTGCGTACTTGTAAAATTGTATACAAATTAAGAACTTTCAACGGCAGGACACCCCAGGACGAGGGCACTAGGTGGCCTGTCAAAGCGCAAGCATCAGGACTAAATAATGAATATTTATTATTCTCGAGAAAATTAGCAAACGGAATCGTGTTTCTGAACTTTGTTTTTTTTCATGCAAGAAGTGGATGTTTGTAAGCAAATGCTCAACTTAGGGATAAAATTCGACTGGAAACCGCAGAGCGTTGACTGGTGACATCTTTTCTTACTCCATCTCGATCCCTGATTCGTCGTTTTGCATGTCAGAAATGCTGCTAGATTATTGTGCTGTGGATGCTTGGATTGTACCGCAGCCGAGGCTTGTGGATGGGGCGTTACAGTGAATGGTCGCCGTCTTCGGAACCATACGGAACCCATCTGACAAAACTGCTTTAAATCTTTCTTTAACAGTTTGAATTTTCAACATTTTGAGCTTAGACAAATGAAGTGTTGAACAGTGTCGACCATCATCACTCCAGTCCTGTTCACTTGAAATATAATCGATGCTTGGCGGAGATACCAAGGCTGAAAGCTGACCAACCACAGCGCGCACTCATTTTGCTTCGCTCAGAGCCCTCGCGAATATGGGCAATAGTGCATATTCTCCCACATTCCTGACTGCTCTTCTATTTCATCGAAAAGTAAATGAGCGTTAGGCGGAGTTTCTTGTGAATGTAGTTGATGTCAAAAACAGCCCATGCGACTCGTCAGAAAATCCTGATTCACCCACCAGCTTCACTCGCACGTCTCCTCAGAAGTCACAAGAATGGAAAATGTTTTTAGAATTCAGACAGAGAGTAATGTTTGGCGATTTGAAGTTCCAGTTTTTGCATTTTTCTGAAGTGGTTGTGGATTCTGAAAACTAACCCCGCATGTGCAGCCTTCGGTGGCTTTCACCGTCCAATGCAATCGATCCATCTCTAGTCCCGAATTTTTTTACGTAGAATACCACAGTTCTCACCATCCCACAGGAGATGTCTGCGAGCAACACGGTGACTGAAAAAGATATCGTGTGATTGCAGGTATTGTTCAGTCAAATTATGGAATACATAATCAAAATTGTGGATATAAAGGAGTTAAAGAACTCCACATCTTTCGGTTGCTGACCAGATGTATTTACTTCCGGCCATCGACGGCGCTCGGTGAGAAGCAACTACTGGCCTCTTGTGTAGCCACGTTTGCGTGCATCGACTGCATGCTGCAAGTCTTGGTCATGTTCATTAGATTCGAAGCTCATGGACGCAACAGCCACATACACGTCTGAATTGCAAGTCAAGCCGTCGATTCGCACTACAGCGGACGGGTATGGTGCTCAATAGGGTAGAGAATGACTTTCTCGACTTGGAGATGGTATGTTGACATGGAGGTTCTATATTTCGCAGCATATTGCAGGGTTGAAATCTCACATGGTGCAATTCACTCGGACGAAAATTTCATACTTGTAGTTCACTGAATTCGTGCAGGTTGTTTGAATTCCATAGCTGGAAGTGACGGAACTTCAAGTGAACCGCTCTGCATATTTCCAAGTCTTCTGCTCCGGTTCGATTGGGAATTCCGTGGCGGCGTTGCTGGGTGTCCGTCACATCGCCGACATCGTTTCAACGTCATCGATTGGGGAAGAATCCTTGAGGAGTCGCTTGAGCTGAGGTATGATCTTGGGGACGAAATTCCAGGTGAATCTTAGAATTGAAATCTGCTGTTTACGTAATCCCAATCGAATGGAGTAAGAGCCGACAATTTCTACTGCATACCTGTCCTCTGTTAGGTTCAAATCCTTTTTAAATCCTTAGGATGGTGGCATCCTTCGTTTCGCCACAATTTCATATGCAGGTACACCCACTTAGGGCTCAGCCTGGAGATTCACCAATCGAGATCCATCTTCAACGCGGTCTCACCGGGTGCATTGCCGTCTGCCTAAGTTACAACATGGCGCCAGGAGTGGTTACTCAGGTCGTGCAAGGCATCAGTGCGCTTGCCAGCGTTTGGTTAATCAAATCCATCGTAGACGCTGAAAAAGAGAAGACCGTGACCCGATTCAGCCAGTGCCCGACGTGCAACGGATCCAGGCGAGTGCCTTGCATGTGCACGCGGTGGTCGGACAACGACGTGGGATGCAACACATGCGCAGGCTCTGGCATGATGCGGTGCAACTCCTGCGGCGGCAGTGGGACAGGGAGGCCGATTCCTGTGGAGATCCGAGCTTCCAATCCGCCGCGAAACCCTTGATTGTGTCAGATGAGTCTCCTGCTTCGCAACTCAAAAACACGCTGGCATAAATCTCATTTCGTTGTGTGAGAATTTCAGAGCGCTTTTGCAGCATTCCTTTCGCACCCATATCAAAATAATAGTGTGGAAAACGAGAACGAAAACCTAAACCTTGCACAGATTTAGGGTTTTGTAAGACAGCCTGCAAGCCAGTCAGTGATGGGTTAGGGTAGTTTTAGGGTTTGTAGGGTGAATTTTGGCCATTTCAAGCTTTGTTCAAATTCTCGTCGTGTATACTAATTCTTCTCATTAATTTTTTTAACTCGTCCATTTTGCAGCTTGTGGCTGGGGTTTTGAGTGCTCTGACCTTGTAAGCAAGTAATATGTCAATTGTGTTCATACAAGACCAATGGGGTTAAGTGTTGCAGAACTGGTTGAATAGCAGTTCATTGTTAACAGCGATTTCTAGTTGTTAGTCTGGTGTGATGTGGATAGTGTATCTGCAAATATGGTTGTGCCTTTGAAGTCTAGAAGGGGGACTTTGGATATACTCCATTAAGCTTCTGTCAAAACTGCCAGCGATGTCTGATCCATAATCCACATTTTGCCTTACTTTGGATCTACATTTTGTAGTCTATGATATACTTTTCATGATGTACAACTCCCAAGGCCATGATTGCAAGCCAAAATGCCCAATTCACAACCTTCTCTGATGCAATTTTCAACATCTTGAAAATCTTTGTTTACATCTTAAAATGGCAAATGTAACTGCCACAATGTATATCATTTACAAGTCTTTAATTGTCAACCAAAGAAGACATGTTCAAGTGTGATAATCTATAATTGATGTAGTTCATGAGCCAAATAGAGATGGTGCAAAACACATGGAATCATATTTGTTTGCAAATTAACAGCTATAATTTAGCATAGTTTGAGGATAGAGACATTAAAATAAATCAATAAATTAATGAATATATTTAATAGCAACTTGTATAGACATTAAATATTAGAATTGTACTTACAACAAAGAGGTAATTTGTAGCCAATAATCTATACTTATATTAATGTTTAACAACAAAAGGTAATAAATAAGAAACTTCTTTTGTAGCAAATGTATATTCCATTATTTGTTACAAAAGAAGAAAAAAACCAACTCATGCAAATATTACTTCCAATAAGTATTTCTATTTTTAAAACTATGTTTGTACTTTGAATGAGGCAGATGATAAAACTGAGGTGTCATTTTAATAAAAGTGATTGTAGTGATCTGTATTTGATAAATAATATACTTATTAAATATTACTTATGTACTAAATCATACACTATAAAACTTTTGTGAAGAATACTCTATTCAAAAAAATCTATTGTCTTAGTCATAAATTATTCTTAGTATTATAAAAATATGATTTTTAATTTATAAATTTATGACAAATCTAAGCAATTTTCTTATTGCTAAGTAGTAGGTGACTTTGATATTTAAAATATATGTCTACAAAAGATAATATTGTTTCAAATCCAAACTAAAAAAATAAATGTAATATTTGTATTAGAGATCAATTTTTTTTTGTTGTATATGTAATATAAATATTTATTTAGAGAAAATTTTTCTAATTATCTCCGCATTAGTTTAGAGCTTTTTTGAAATGTATATATTAAGCTTCATTTATACATGAGAATTATATATCAATTTAAATAAATAAATCTGAAATATCTTTTTGTACAAATTATATCATATGAGCAAAATATTTACATATTAATTATATAAACTTAAAATTCAAATAATAATTTACATTTATCAAGTATTATCGTGGATTTTTTTTTTATATATAATCTATTTTTATATACCTCAATTTTATCATCTACCTCACTCAAAGTACAAATATATTCAACATATTGTATTTATAGCTCAAATAATATTATAAATTATTAATTTTTTGTATAAAATAGATATAACATGTGAAAATACATGCCAACTTACACTACCCATCTTTGACTTAGTTATAAATATAAAGACACAAAACCTAATTAAGATATATGAAATTAATTTAATATTGTTGTATATAAATAATTCTTATCGTCACAATTTTTTTTCACTTTTATTGTCTATGCTTGTAGCATTAGTAAATCTAGCAACAATATTGAAAAATAAAGATATAAGTTTCACATCTTTGACATTAAATTGGAGGTAGAATAAAACTAATGCCAAATAAAACTCTAAGTATTCAAATAGTTGTATAAGTCCAAATCTATTACATCGCAAATTATACCTTAAATATTGAGCAAATATAGTTGTAAGAAGGCTTGTTTTAATAAGATCTTCAACACAATGTCATAGATATACATATTTACTCCAATAATTATTAATATGATTAAGTAGAAGTAGATAAAATTATATTAATTTTATAATATCTTTTAAAGAAGCTTCCTAGAAGCTTTATAGATGCTGGTTTGACTTTATATATGTTTGTAGTTAATTAGTAGGTTAAAAACTTAGTGAATAAGTTAGCTTCATGATACATATATTAATAGCTTATAGAACAAGCTAACTATGTGGTGCACATATTGATAATGTCTTGTAAGTTAAGTCATGTGTCTAGTAAAATCTATACATGTTGGAGGTTCAATATAATATCACAATGTAGGTCTTGATTAGAGAATATATATAGAAATAAGAGTGAGGCCTTCTTCACTCTTGCCAATGCCTTTCTAGTCTTTAGTCTTATTTCAAGACTTTTTAGTCTTCTTGTCTTTGGTAATAGACATTATAATTTAATATATTACCATCTTTAAAAGATTTTTTAGTGTTTTTGAGTAATTTAAGAGTGTATTGAAAAAAAAAACTTTGAAATTTATGTCTTTAATAGTTTGACAAGTATACTAGTTCATTATTCTTGTCTTTTTATAAAAGTGAGTAGATTACCTCACTTCTATTGTTGTATTTTGAAGGTTGCAGATTATTCACATTTAAACAAATTATTTAATTTTTAACATTGATTTTTTCTTTAAAGAGAGCAGATTATCTTTCTTTGTGAAAATTTTCATTTCACATTAGAGGTTGCACATAACTATCTTCTAATTTAACTTGTAAATTTGTTAAGTTTTTTGAAATAGAAAGAAAAATCATGGATGCTATCCTTGGCAAAAGTAAAAATAGATTAGCAACTATTGCAAATCTTTACAAACTTGCTAACACTCTTAAAGTCGAAATTCCACACATTATTAATACCAACTACAAAAACACTAATTCTATTTCTATGAAAGAACAAATTTTATGTCAAGAAGTTGTGCAGTTAAAGGAAACAAATGAATTGATCTTATAACCAAATCAAAGAACTTTTGCTTCTATAACTATGACATATATAAGGATTAGTATGCCCAAAGAAGTTTAATGGAACAAAATCAAAATCTTATGGATTTTTGCAACAAATCAAACTCAATCTAAAGTTGCATCTCTTCCAAAATCTTGATGGATTTACTCAAGTTGGATTTAAAGATACACTTCTATCAAAAAGTGATCTTTCTTGATTTGCACTTTTGATGGAAAAAGATTCACAATTCCTTTATGATTTGAATTCATTTCTAAAAGTGTTTAGGACTAGATTTGGAGAGTGTAATTAAAAAAGAGTGATAGAAACCAAATTCTTATCTTTATGTTAAGAATCACGGTTAGATACCATATATGTTGTTGAATTCCAAAACCTGACTTACGATAAGGATTGAAATGATAAAGCTCTTATTAATCAATTTTAATATGAATTAAAAGATAATATCAAAGATTGGATATTGATAATTTCAAAAGTAGAATCTTTGAAATAATTTATTACCTAAGCCATTGTATACAACAATCAATTATTTGAAAGGTGTCAAGAATAAAGATTTGGCTGAAAAAGAATAAGTCAACTAAAGATGATAATCCTTGAATTTTTAGAAACTTATTTATTAAAGTCAAATCCAATACAAATTGATATCATATATTTTAAATCCCTCATGGAGTAGGAAAAGACTAAATATTGTCAAGTGTATTTCTACTTATATTGTAGAGAAGCTAAACACACTGCTCAATATTATTCAGAGAATCAAAGCAATTAAAGAATGAAAAACAAGATTGACAAAGAAGACAATGTGTCAAAAAATGAGTTTTTTCAACTACAATAAGGACTTTGCATTTGGAATTATGCGTAATACCTAATAAAGGTCTTATTCTCTTTTAAAATCTTTCATCTTGTTTTACAAAAGATGTGTATTTAAGACCTAAAAATCACAAAGTTTTTATATTTTTAGATTCAAGAACCTAAATCTATTTTATAGACAAAGACTTTGTGAAAAAATAAGAAATACTTTTGGTCAAGAAAACTAAATTCGTACATATAGAAGTCATTGATGGTTGTTTGTTGTCTTCTAAAAATGTTATCTATAAAATTATTCCTTTAAGTATAACAATTAAAGACCATATTTACATAGTAATATTTAATGTGATAAGATCTCACTCCAATCTGCTTATTTTAAGTTTATCATGGTTAAAAAAATATAATCTTCAAATAGATTGAATTTCTCATAATTTTAACTTTTTTAGTAATTTAATTCAAAATCTTGTTAATCAAGTAGAAATATATAAATTTAGTATATTCAAATCCTTGTTAATAGATACAAGAACTTTTATGCATGCGACAAAAAAATGGATCATCTATTGATATATATGCCATGCCAATTTTTGATAGTCAAAAGATATTAAGTGGTATTTTTAGCTAATATCAAGATTTTTAGATGTTTTTGAAAAAAATAGTAGATATTCTTTTAGAGCATCGACCTTATGATTATTCAATTGATTTATAAGAAAGAATTCAACCACCATTTGGACCAATCTATATCTTATTGCAAAATGAGTTGGCTCCATTAAATGAGTACTTTGATAAAAACTTGGCTAAAAACTTCATATGTCATTCAAAATCTCTAGCAGGAGCTCCTATCTTATTCGTGAAGAAATAAGATAGATCTTTATAGATGTGATTAGACTATCAAAGATATAAGAAGATCACCATCAAGAATATGTATTCCCTCTTTTGATTTTAAGATTTTTTGATTAATTCAATCAAAGAAAGATCTATACAAAAATAGATCTACAAAGAGCATATAATATATTCAACATAAAAGAACGAGATGAATAGAAGACTACTTTTCAAACTATGTACGGATATTTCAAATATACTATTATAACTTTTGGACTCACAAATACAGCAATTCCTTTTCAACATCTTATGAATGATATTTTTTGTGAATATTTTGATTATTATTTTTTGATTATTATTTAGACGACATTCTAATCTATTCTAAGAATACATAAAAATATAAACTTTATGTATGTCATATGTTATAAAAATTTAAAAATGTAAGATTATATGCCAAGATATAAAAGTATGTATTCCACATAACTCAAGTTGACTTTTTAAGATACATTGTTTCAAATAAAGATTTAATAATGGATTTAAAGAAGGTCCAAACTATCATAGATTACAAGATATAAAAAACAATAAGAAATATGTAATACTTTTTGAGCTTTGTTAATTACTACTTAAAACAAGACTAGACTATCTTAAAAATCTAAGATCCTTTTTATTCCATAATAAT